CCAACGTTGGGCCCATGCCCTGATCTAAGGCTCCGATGCCAGGGGTCTATGCCGATCGGAAATCAAGATCTCCAGTTCTCGAACGCAGTCTCAATATTAATCCAATGAGGAGCGCTTGAATTCCAGTGGGAGTCATCCTACATCACACCTAGCTCGACTGTCGGCGCGAGCGGCGCTAAGGAGGAAGCGTACTCGATGTTTAATTCATGGACTCGAGTGCTGCGCCTGTTCTTCCTGCCGTTGCCACTGCTGCTGCGTCTGCTCCTCGGTGTCGCCGATGCTCGCCGGCTATCTCTAAAGTGGAGCGTACACAAGTTCGAGCGTCACAAAAGGAAGACACAGCCTCAGGAGATGGAGAACCGAAAAATACCTCGATGCGAGATAGGTAGAGAGACGTGCTGCCACTAGAATCAGCGTGGCCACTGACGTGTCCTCCCGTGTCTCGCTCGAGAAAGGCTAACGAATCGTTGCATGGTAGAATTCGACCATGAGATGAATTTCCATGCTGATTGTTAGTCCATTTCTGACCGAATCGACTCTGAATCCGACTGAGGTAAACCTTCATCTTAAGGGAGTAGTCGTTTCAGTATCCTGGTCCTTGAGTCAATTCTTCTCTCGCCTGTATCCGTCGAACGAACTGTGATGCGAATTTAATAAGCGCCAGCCAGTCAGACAAGCGGTTCGAAGTGGTTCGAAACATTTTGACAACTTTTCCATGAAGGGTGTAGCACTTTCCTCGTCACCCCAGTGCACTTAAACGGTCCGCAAGAAACTGCGATTTCATATGGGCAGCTCGCCCTACCGCTCAGGACAATGTCGCAACTAGCGGCTTGGGATTGCCGGGAAGGATGAAGCCGTCCTCCGAAATTCCGAGACGAGAGCATGAATCGCATTGGAACCGTCAGGCTTGCGAGACGGGTAATTGAGACTACCGTTGCAAGATCATTTCTTTGCGTTCGGTCGACAGAACGCCACGAATTGTGGAGCGAGAGCGAGTGGGCTCCGGGCGGCGAAATTCGCTGGCGCCATATGTTAAGATATTTTCAATACCGAGCAAAGCAATGGCAAGTCTAGCCAACCCCTTGCTTAGTTAGTTCATATCCCCGATGCCGCAGTACCGATATTAGTAGCCGTAATAAACGCATTAATTGGGCTCTGGGCTCGCTGGTCGGTTGACCAGTTGGCCAAGTCGCCGAGTCCCTGCGAGCCAAAAGGCGACATCTGGGACGGGGATAAACTCGTTCGAGTCGACAGAAATTCTACCGGGAATCGGAAGCTTGCACCGAATATAGTGGCATCCGATCCGAGCGGAGTTCCGCTGTGATCTGAAGATTCGCTCCCCGTTTGACGAGACAATTTGCTCAATCGATCGATTCCGAACCAGCTTTCGGGCAAGTAGCAGCTCTCGCAGCTGCCATGCGGCAACAATGCAAGGGAGAATCGTTTTTTTTCTCGAGTGCCCCCATAGCAGCTCGTTGAAGATTTTCACGCCATTAGATTCAAAGGCTGCTCCGGGTTCGGCGGTGGTGGAAGGGGTTGCGGGGAGCGATGCCATTCTTCAGTGCAAGGTTGACACGTTGACAACAAGAATTTATTTCAGGGTGATAGAGGGAAAGCCCTCGATGTAAACAGACAGTATCAATAGCCGCGACTCGCACCGGCCACCCGACGCTGAAGGGATCGGGGATTTTCCTCGAGCTGAGAATTCCAAAGGAGAAATCGCCGCGAAGGAAAATTCTCCAGTTTTTCCTCATGAGCAAGCAGGAGCCTCATTGCGAGTGATCCTCGATCTTTTCGACCTCACGGTATAGAATCATCGCATCAGAACCAGATCCGCTCATTATGAATGCATCATGCGGGAATCTAGCGTTTCCAGTCGATATCGAACGCGAGAACGAATTCACGTGGGCGAATTTGAGCGGATACTAATGTCTTCGTTCATGAGCGCGCTTCGAGGACCTACTACCTGTCAGAGAAAATCTGTCGAGAAGACCGTCGAGAGCGGCATCTGCACAAATTAAGCGTTCCATCCTGTCGCCGACGGGAGCAGGAAGAGGCTTCGATGCTGAATGCGTTACCTGACTGAGAGCGAGCCCGTGGTTTGTCTCCGAGCGGTGGGAGTGGTCGTGGTGGTGGAGTCGGTGGTCGTGGTGTAGGTGAAAAGGCGACAATGATGGTGGCGATGATAGTGGTGTTCGCGTCCTCGGTATAGGTGTGATGTAATTCATTGGCTTCTGGTGTTTGGTATGCGTTCACCATTAATTGCCTATGGCTATGGATGCGTGTAATCCGTCGTCTCCCGGTGTAGGTTGTTCTCCGTGTGGCGGCGCCTTCCCGCCTTCCCACGATTCCCCCTGTCTCCACCCGATCCCTCGCTCGCATTGCAATGGTCGCTTCTGCGAGTTTCCGCTTGGTCTGCTCGACACCCTACGCCGCCCTTGTGGTTCGATTTGTCTGCCTGCGATGTGGCCCTTCGATATCCCTTATCCCTGTGCCACTCCAACCCTTTGCCTCTGACGACGAGAGGTTCAGACGGCTCTCGCTTTCGTCCGAGCTGCCGAGTCCAGGACCCGGACTTCAGCGATCTATCGACTGGGGTTCCGGACTCTTCCACGAAAAACATCCAACATTCATATTGTACGTCTCCTCCGGATAAAAATCTATGGAAGAATCTCGAATTCTCGCTTCTCTCGGAAGAGCCTCTTGCAAGTCGGACTCGAGCTTTGACCCTTCGATAGCATTAGGAGTAAGACAGGACTGGCAATGATTTTTGTCCTCGAACCCGCGCGCATCGCGACCGCGTCACAATTGATCTCTCGTCTCCTGAGACTCCCGAACGACGCACGAATCGTTCTCCAGAACACAAAAAAAATCCCTCATGCGAACGACATGCAATGCGAGCGATTGTGACACGGATACACAAAAGAGAGAGAAGGAGAACACGGGTCGGCGAGGAGATCGGCTCCGACGGTTCGCGATTTTTATGTGATTCAGCTGAGGACCACGAACATCCGCGGCAACCAACAAGGGCGGCCTCGGCGCCGCCAACAACGACACTGTAGCCAGGCAAGAGGAAATCCTTAATGGCACGCTGGTCAAACTCGACTTGGCCCGTCAAAGGAATGCGGCTCCAGCCACTCCCCGGCCGGGTGGGCGGGCGGCGTTCTGACCAGTTTCCTCCTCCGTTCAACGGGCCGATGGTCTTTGAGCAAACTTTTGCCATTGGCTAAATTTGCTCTGGATCACGTTTCGCCTTTTTCTCTCTTGTTAGGCTACACAGGCACACGACGTCCGTGGCGATAGCAGCCGCGGCGGTGACGACGACGACGACCAGACTCTCTGCCGACTCACTTCACAGTCGATTTCTCCACGAGGTTCTCGGCCGCAGCAGGTACGACGGTCGCCAGCTGACAAACGTGAGTTGCCATACGATGTATGAATAGTCTCGCCACTGCAGAGGAACATCGGGGTGGCTGGCCGAGGTAGTTAGACAATGTGTTGAAGCCGCGCTGATTGAGCGATCCCTCGCTCCGACGATGAGCGATTCCTCGTTATATGTAGAAGCAATCGCACCGCTCCTCATCACCGAGAGGTAGACGTTGTCCGATTCGATCACAGTGTTCGGTCCCGCAACTCCAAGCTCCGACTCCTTAGCTCGATTCCGTCATTCCAGCCGAGAAGAGTAGGTATCCATCGATTCTCATTTGTATTTTCGATGCCCGAATGTGCGACGACTGCGAACGAGAAACAGAGAGACAGGGAGTCCAAGAAACTCCTTCTAATGAGACCAAACTGCAACAGCTGGCTCCCTCCTCATGGTCGGCTATCGGCAGATCGGCAATTTTTCGATGAAGGATAAGAATGATAACTGCTGTGCAGGGCTGAATTATTTATAGACGACACTTAGTGTATATCGACTACAGATCGACTGCTTTCCAAGGAAATCCTCCATTCGCTAAGACAGCTCTCGTGAGGAGGTCGTGGTCTCTACTTATTCCCCCGACTTTTCCGAGGAACGGACGCAAGACGTAAGAAGCATGTGCCTATGTTGGGTGAACTGAGGTCGGCTTGTGGGTTTGTTCGTGAACTTTGGCGCCCCCCCGCGTCCGGAGATTTGCTTCCGTTCCCCATCGGATCAATAAGCCTTGCACCCGACAAAGCTCGCTATGATCCTTTCGCCCAGTTGAGAGAGGGATGGGGAATCGCATATTGACCACATTCCCGCGGAGTTGAGGGCTCTATATCATCATGATGGATACGAAAGGATCATTGGAACTTGCCTGTCCCAACAATAACGCGTCCCGACTAGATGGAACACTGATTCGATTAAAATAGCTTGTTCGGCTTCGGGGACGATAGTCGAGCTAGTCATTCTATCGGAATCACGGGGCACTCGGAGGCGTTTGACCGGTAATCAGCTCATGTGTCACTCAGATACCGTCTAGTTCGAGCCTCAGCTCAGACTCCGGAAACGCGACGGTCAAAGGGAATCCAACAAGAAGAAGGCCTATTCTGGACCAATATTCGTGGAAGCTCGAAGAGCTCAATTTGTTTGATTTCGGTCCGATGCGATGCCTACTCCCAAGGGTCGGAGGGATTCACCCCGGTCGACTGTGATGTGGAAACGCACACGATGAGACGGGACAGCGACGGCGAGATTCCCAGACGGAGGTTCGGCGTGTCGTCCTTTAGTGGATACAGCGAAACAGCATCAATAATAACTTGTGTCTTGAGCTTCTGAAAGTGTTCTGAATCGTACAGCTTGGCCCTATCCAACATACGACGGTCAACGTCACTTCCTCGACATCGTAATCGGAGGTCGCTGCCTTGTAGCTTGATAACTCGAGGTTCTTGCTCCTCTCCTGCTCGATTTGAGCGCTGTTTCACCGAGATACCGATTTTGGATCGATTGGGAAGTCTGCGTGAAAGAGCGATCGATCATCGCCGCACTTGCGCGGCGCCTTCTGAAATGCGTTCATCCACGGCGGGCAACGAAGACAATGTTCGATTCACGAGTTGGGGTTGGGGGAATAGTATCCGAGTTGTACTATGGAGTATTCGTGGGTGACCACTCGTAACGAGACTCGGGCGACGAATGAGAAAAGTCCATCTCTCCCTGGTTCGATATCGAACATCTCTCAGGCAAGCCAGGAAGCTCCTCACACGGGTAAACGGTTAAAAGCTCCGCTCGATGTTGTCCAGGTTAGTCGACTCATTCATCGACTCATTCCTTCCTCTCTGAGGCTCTCAGGGAGTCCGGAGATGGTGATGCTCTTTCCCTGAGATTCTATTAGAGTTCCTCGCATGCGACTACCGAGAAAAGAATGAATCACCTGTGCGGGGATCGAGCCAAATAATGTTCCTGATCAATGGAGTGCCTAACGAGGAACGTATTCACTTTAAGTTGATCAAAGCGAACTATGGAATCAGCCTGACGAAGCAATGCGAAACGCGTCTCCGGGAAGCAGTGTTCATGACAAATGAAGATTTCGAAGCAGAGATGCAGCAGCTGCGAAACCGCGACAATCTCAAACGAGGTGATTCAACCTCTTTCCTCCATGGAAAGGCCACGGAAATTGGAACTAGATACTATGAAAAGGCGACCTTTAGAAAGGACGGGGTCGAAAGAATAAAATATCTTCCCGCCGCAGGAGAGGGGGACGTGCAGCTCGATGCGGATGTTGTCGAACAACTATACCATCTGACGAAGTTCCGGCATGAATTGACTCTAGATGTCAAGCCTACTCCCCAATGGACCGAGGAACAATTTGTAGAAGCGTCTGAAATATTCAGGAGGGTATCGGAGAAATCGTCCCGGGCTAATCATACTTTGAACACTGTCACTGAGCTAGCCGAGGATCTCGCCCTCGTTGATCCGAGCCGTGTCAATGTGTGAGGCGATGGGATGAGACTCCCAATCAAATAGGATCTTCAACCGGAATACGGAGGCCCTCCGCTCTCGCGGAATCAGCGAACCTCCCAATGGTCTGGAGCTCCTGGAAACTGGGCGCCGAATCGAACCAGTACCTAAATCTCGCCAGGACCCAGGATAAGCCGAACGGGCCCGAGGGGAGGGGGGGGGTGGCGCTAGACAGCGGCTGAGTGATATTGGTCGACAGACAGCTCAATTCGGTCAAGAGCCCCGAGTAGTTTTGATAGTTTGTCTGTTCGCACTCGTCGTGATTTGCGGAACGCTTCTCAACTTGACAACCTTCATGCATAATAAATACAATCGAGGTAGGAATATCGTCCCCGTGAGGATAAATCATTCTCCGCTCTATGTCCAGCGTTCGTGGATCGATTCCTCTTACGTCCCAGGGGACGTCGATCCCGATAATCTCCGCGGGACGCGAAACTATTGGTATGCCAGAATCGTCGTACTCCATGAGGAAACCGCATGATGAAGAACAGGAGGAGCTCCGCCTCCACGAGAATCGTCAAAGGAAATATGAATTGAAAATAATCCTAGAATAAGAGGGGGTTTCTATCCTAAAAAAATACTAGCAGAGCGTGGTTTCGATCCACGGACCTCTGGGTTATGGGCCCAGCACGCTTCCACTGCGCCACTCTGCTTCGAGTGCTAAGAGGTTAGCCGGGTAGCCTGACCTTGAGCGTGAGACGTCGAGAGGGCTTTCCTCACCAAGTTTTGGATTTCAGCTATCATTTACGCATCAGACATATCCCCGGTCCGACTATCGTCGATTCCCGCCCACATCGACAGTATTGCATCTTCATGCAATCGCGAGTCGAAGTACGCTTCGAGTTTGACTGATTTTGAGGGATTTTTCCCGGGGGGACGGATTCGCTGATGATCGCTCCTATGCAGTGAATGAATCCACAATTCGCACAATTATATCTTTCATTATTCCGATTGTTTAGCGAATCGAGTCCGGAGAGCAATCGAGTCCCCCCGAACACGCTGGAGAGCAAATTCAAAATGTCGGTTGGCGGTGAGCGCCAAAACTTGCGAGAAACCGGTCCCTGAACTTCCTGAATATTCAGAGAGCGGGGCCGGTTCCGAGTTTAAATAGGCATCTCGCTCGAGCAGGAAGTGCGACGATTCGTTGATTTTTTTTCCCCATTCGGAGATGTCGAAAGTGTCGCTCGCGCTTTCAGTCGACCAGAAAACCCAGCATGTGCCGGAGCCGACTCTCGTCCGGCTTTTTGCAAAGTGGGAGTTCCTTGACGCACAAGTGCGACTGACTCGCTAGCGTCGCCGTCTTCGAAAACGTGTAGTTCAACCCTTTCTCGCAACCTTGTCTGGGGCGGCGAATGACCGACCGCGCGTCTGAAGCGACGTCTGGCGAGACAGGATCCATCGATACGTACACTGGACGCCGGTGTTGAACCAGAGTGCGTGTGTGCACCAATTCAGCGTGTTCCCCCCAATACGCTCGTGCTCTGAGTTCGTTGAGGGTCGGATGCTCGTCCGGTTTCCCGGCGCTCGAGACAGAAAATGACCAACGCTCTAAAACGGCTAACAACCAACAAAACTACGACTGGTGAGTGATGGCCCCCCATCGAACCCCTCCGGGTTCGCTGACGCCTCGTGGTATGCCCAATTCCAGCTCAACGCGGGGACGAGTTGCTCTCGACTCAAGGGGGCTCGCAATGGTCCAAAGATATAGGGAGTCCGCATATCTCCTCGAGAAAAAGCGAAGCGCGTCTGTGTTCTCCTGTGTTCTCCGGGGACAAAAAAAGCCGCCAAAGGTCGTAAACGGTATATCTGATCGATTTCCAGCCCGTTGCGATGATCACCGCAGGCTGGAGCAACTGCACTCCATGTTCCTACAGACTGGACAACTGGCTTTCTACTTAGGCCTCAGTCAGCTCATGTGCAACGACCCTGGACCTGCGAGGCATCTCCAGAACGTGCTCGACAACTGCCATCTGCTCATGAACAACATTCGGTTATCAATGAGCGTCACCGAAGAAATTATCGCCTGTCGGACTTCGAAAACGGGAGCGCTCTCTTGTGAGCTCCTCTGAACTTTCTCATCAGTGATGAGCTCCGGATGCGGAGCCGGTGGCTCTTTGGTCGCGGAAGAATTTTCATCTAGGGCATTACTGAAATGTGCGGACACCTCGGTCACCATCACAAGTGCGGGAATCATGAGAGTGCCGAAAATCCACCTCGCCGCGGTCGTATCAGAAGAGAATACGGTGCATAAGGCAGCGGCATGACGGAACGTACTGATTATATTGGAGTGACATTGAACGAGCTTTAGGTCCCCCACCGCCAACATTGAAGAGGAACGATCTCTTGGAGAGCTGAGAGCTCCAATAGGATTTAATAAAGATTTTCGTCTGAAACCGATGCTTGTCCTTGTCATGTATTCCAATTCCTTCCGCCACCCATGAACTTCTGTGCGGAGCCGCAGACATTCACCGAAAAAGCCGCGCAGTGTTTTCGGTACGTTCGTAGCGGGCATCGACAGGTCGAGTCGCTCGTTAACCATAGGGCATGAAAGCTTTTTCGTTGAATCCATGGGAAGGATCCAGGAAGGCAATACTTATTCATGGCAGAACAACATGGAGAAAAACCGAGACGCTGCCTGATGTGTTCAGCGAAGAATCTGTCGGTGGCAGACACTCCGCAGACGTCCGTTGACCTTGGAGCGGAATACTGACGCCAGTGAATGGAAGGGTTGACGACGGTACTGCTGCGCGGTCTCTCCGTGCCCCACAAATCAAGCTTGAAGCCAACGCACCAAAGCCAAGAGACGGCAGAAGTCTCGGGGCAGTTTTTTTCTGCGTCTAACCAATGGAAGATTCGTCATGGAGCGTCATTGGTGCCTACGGCTCAAGACTCGGCTGCCGACTGGAGACGCAGGATTGAACACTCTTGTCTTGTCGGTTTTCTTCTCGCTTCGAATAATTATAATTATTATGAGCTCCGAAAAATCGTCATCGTATGATCCCCTTCTGTGTTTAATGATGAAATTTACCGTCCGCGATCATCGAATCGGAGCAGGAGACGCTCGCGCAAGTTTTTCCTGCATCGTGACTCGTGATTTCTAACTCAGATGCTGGAAGTCAAAGCTCCCGATCGACTTCGCTGTGAAGTTCCCGCCATAGTCCGTCGCTCCAAACGACAGCGAAAAGCCACCATCTCCTCAAATTATTATTCATCAGGCCAGAGTGATAACGATATTTTCCCGCCTGTAGTCTCCGGGATTCGTCGAAGTACATATCCGACTCGAAGATGGATCCGATTCAACAAATTTGGCCTGCACTGAACACGTGCGACGCGGACATTCCTTCCTACACGGTCACACAAGCTAGGATGATCCCGATCTATCAACTTGTACGATCGGCGCCGCCGCCAGAGAATCCCGTCCATATTGTATTCCACCAAGACCCAGCCCCGGAGCCCTCCAGAGGGGGAGCAGCGCCCGAGGAAACGAATGGACATATGGAGCCCCAGATAATGTGCCAGTATAAATTCTACCTGCCGCCTTCCAGCACTGGATGGTGTGTTCTGGCTTTGCCCGCATCATCCGATCCCCAAGATGTGCTTGGCGAAACATTTGGAACGGCCGCATCCGTAGACCAATCGACTTACGACGAACCTGTGGTACCCGTCCCGCTCGCGATACCCAGAGCCGAACTTGGAGCGCCAGGTCAGGCACCGGGAGCTCCGGGGAGCAAGGATGCTCGGGCTCCGGGCGCTGTGGCCCCGAAAGCAAGCGAAGTCAAATCCGAGGATTATGACTCGGAGGACGATGATTCCATTGACTCTGAACTGGCCATCGATGCCTCGTCTTGGTGATTGATGCTCAGATGAGAAATAAAGACTGGATTGCTCCTTTTCTCTCGAGAGCCCGTGCATGCTCGCTTTCCTTCCTCATTCCTCAAATCCAATCAGGCCGGCAAAAAGGATCGAACCTCGAGATGGGGGCATCTCCGACGGAGCTCGGGTCTGGCTCTTGCCACGGAGTTTCCAATGAGGAGATCTTTTTGGTCGAAATACATCATTTATTCCCGGCAACCGCTCCACAGCTTTTACTTGAAAGGCGTTATGAAACTCTGTTGTGGAAAATTAATTTAACTACATTATCATTCGTTGGTTTTCCTAGGGGCAAGGGAAATGGCGTCGAGAGCTTAACTGCAGGACAAATGGACTCTCCTCACCAACTGCTTCTACATCAGGGCTCATCAGCGCGGCCCCGAGGCAACCGCCCCTGTGCGGCGTGGCAGATGATCGACGACAAGGCACTGGTAATCAGATGATGATACACTCATTTCGATCGATCCTTGAGAACTTTCTCCTTGCCGAGCAGCTGGCCTGCAGACTCTCCGTGAGCATTCTCCGTCCACCAATCACGCGTCCATTTGCAAAAATTCATACTCGTGCGACATTCTTCCCTGTCCGGAATTATACACACTAGTTCTCGCTAAAAAATTGTATTTTTTCCTAATATATCTCATAGATGTGTTCATGCGAACGTATTAACTACGATAAATCCGTCCATCCATTCTCTCTTTGATCCGAAAACAGTTCGCATGAGCCCCACGCGCGATTCCTCCCTGTCGGTCAAGCACAGTCACGCTTATGTTCATGATTCATATACTAGGCTCGTTGAGGAGCTTTCTCCTCCTATATTCTTTGCACAAAAACAACATTAACGACGGTAGATCATCGTTTACACCTTCGAAATCATAGGTAATATCATCCTCATCATTTTTTCCACCGCGTTCCGTAGTCGAAACGCTTTTAGGGTCTCCGAAAATTGGGCCTATATTCTCCAAGCTTTGTACCGCTTATCTTCTCCGACAAAGTTCCGTCCGACGATCGCTCGATATGATCCCGCGAATAAGAGGAAACGAATCGTCGCTCAAAGTTCCAGCTGAAAATTCCGAGAGCGATGTCTTCGGCTCCCGGACTCCCCTTTGACTACACATGCGCGTCGTTACTTCTCCGGAGATGGAGGCGAGGTCGGCCTTCAAGTGAAAGATTCAATTGCCAACAAAGTTGCCAAGTTTCCATGAGAGTTGATAACTGCTTCGCCGGGACCTCCGACAGGGCCTCAATATATGTTTTCTACAGTCGAGATGGCAAGGAAAGCCCCGCTCAATGTCCCTGGTGAATATTTTCGCCAGGAAAGCTTTTTGGTGTAAAATAAAAGAGGCCAACCTCTATAGTCTAATCCCGTATTCCCCGCCCACTAGCGCATAATCCGAGCATGGTTTGGGTCCGCGGCGTGGCGGGACCTTCGAAGTTTTTGGGACGCAGCCGACGCGAGTTGACTCCTTCAGTTCTTCCGCCTTGTGTACAGTGAAACGGTCATGTCTTGAGTAGCTGTAGCTAGACTCATCTGAAAGAATTCAGAAACTTCAGTTCCTTTCTCGCGTGTCGTCGGCTCAACATGCATCTCCCTCGACGAGGTTCCTATTCCCTACCGACTGCAAAGATCTAACGAACCTTGTATGGATGGAACGCGATCGCGTTCACCGACGCCAGTCTTTGGCCTGAGAACCAGTCTTGATGCGGCTTCACTACTTGAGGGGCGGCGTCTTCCTCTATAACCACGATATTCTGGCTCTGAGTTCCACAAGCGATCGCTCCGGGGAAGAAGGGATGGACCGCCATACAAGTGAGATCCTGTTGGGAGAGCTGTGTCATACGCTTCTCCGAGTGATTGCTGCCCGCGGCCAGGTGTCGGTATCGGATATCGCCTGCGACCGATGCCGAAGTCAACATTTGCTTGTTGGCATCGAGATGAACTCCGACCACCTGACCGTGATGGTCGCGCGCATTCAGGACCGGCCGGCAACCTTTCGAGGGCATTCTCCTATCGAAGAGCTTCACCGAACCGTCGCGCATTCCGACCGCGAGCAAGAAGCCGCCGACATTCCTATCGACCGACACGCAGCGCACCGACTCATCGGCGTCGACGGACATGTCCAAAATGCGACGTTCCTGGTTCATGTCCCAGAGACGGACCACCCGCATGTCTCCGCAGGTGATCAGCTGACACTGGGTCTGGTCCCAGTCGAGGAGTACGCCGCTGCACTTCAAGGACGTCTGGATTTCCGGAGCGTCTAACATGCAGTTGAAGGCCGTCACGAGCTCTACCGGTTCGGGCTTTCGAGGATTGTAAAACGACGAGTAGGTGTTCGCCCACGCGCGTACGGCACCGTCTGTCGTCGCCGTCAACAGCAGACATCGATCGTGGTGAGCATTGACGAGCACGGTCGACGATATTCGAGGATAATTTCTGATTGGGGACCGACTCGAGAAGCGCATATTGTGCTTATCGAGAACGTCTAGTTCGACCATTCGTTCCGTGTCGAACACAACAACCTGCTGAGAGTCGGATACAAAGAGTAGCGGTTCAAAAGGATGAAACACCGCACTGCTTGGCGATGAAGACAATCTCTTCACGAACTGCTGCTCCTCAAGTTTGGCGAGTACTTTGTAGGATTCGGTTCGTAAAGCTTGAGCGGCCTGTCTTCGAACGGTAGCGTTGCGCATGAACCGAAATTCAGCTTTTGAATAAGAGAGCGCATCGCGATCTTCGGGCTCTTCGTCCGCCTTCTGGAAAGGAACGATTCCCTCTTAAGTTCGTGAACCTGATCCCACCAACGAACCTTTCCGAGCGGGTCGGAAACCATTGTACCGAGAAGATACGATGCGTTCCTTCATAGATACAATCCCGCTGCAGTCTCCGTCGGAGCAGAGATGCATTTCAATGGGGTAACGATTCGGCACTTACATCGTTCAGACTTGGTCTCTGGATCTGTCTTGTAAGAATATCCAGGAAATTCGTCCTGACCACAGGATTAGCCACTAGCTGGTAACTGGATTCTTGAACTTCCCCGTTCGCTTGAGGGGCGTTGTGCTCTTGAAGGGTGACTGAGGGCCGATTTTCTTTGACGAGCGGTAGAGTATTGTCGAAATTCCGTCTGGGCCTAATTCATCGGATAATTGTTTAGAACAATCAACCCAGCTGCATTCTCGAATAAGGTACATTGACTGCTCCGGCTCGATACATAAACTCTGTTGGGTCTGTCACTCGATGTTCTCCTCCAAGGACACGACCATCGGTATCAGAATGGTCACAGAAGCGAGCATCCAAACAAAGCAATGTCAGAATGTCTTTCCCTTTCCGCGGGACCCTTCGTCGTGGATTCGATCGTTATCCAGAATTAGGCGGTACCAAAAACTCAGGGGAAAGCAGAGATGCACAGCGAGCACATTCGTGGAGGAGACGGAAATTACGCAATTATAGGCAAAGAGAAGAATGGAAGAATAGCGAAGGAGCCCTGATGCATACCTCACCACCCTTGAATGAGAAAACGCTGGACTAAGACTCCGCAAAGAGTCACTCATCCTCACTCCGTGGTACATGCTTGAAGACCTTGAAAGAGCGGTTGGAAGAGCCCTGTCTACCTCGTCTTGACCATTTGCACTGCAACCAAGCATTCCGCAGACTGAGTCAATGGCCTCGAGACAGCATTCGACAGCTCTATGATTAATTTCCATTTCAGCTATGGAGAAACTTCAAAGCCGCATTCGCCGTGTTAACACTCTGGAGCCAAATTAGTTACAGACGAACCATTCAATCACTCGGTAAGCTTTTCTATCTTTCATCGGTCGGTCACTCGATAGATCACCTCATCGAGTTGATTATTATCGAGCGCCCGAACGTGACCTATCGATGCATCATCCGACCTATCGAGATACCTAGGTATATCCAGCTAACGGCTCAATGTTGGATTAGAGGATGGAAAGGTAGCCAAATCATCAGCTCATGATCGTGCATCTTGCCGCCACCATCTAGAATCTAGAGAAAGATTGTTCCTCGTCACATTCGAGGTCTGCGCTGGAATCGCGATCCGAATACTCACAGATACGAGTTAGCTCCCGATGGGGACGATGGTTCCGAATGGGATGTGTTCGTCGAGTTTGCTATCGTCGTCGCACCCGACGTCGAGGGATTATTGCGTAGATGATCTCGGGAAGGTCGCCGGAACGCGATCATCGTCTCAGCTTTATCTCTATACATCCGAACCAGCGTGTTCGTCATATCGCTCACCTGTATAGGGAATATATCGCTGACCGAGTGTTCGCTGTCATATAGAGGTCGAGTTCTTTTCCAAAAATGAGAGTTCGGCGATTGGCTGACCCGAAAGCGATATCCCTCATGGGCACTAACTTTTTCATGGGGGTCCGCAGTCGCTAGAGAGTTCAGGAACTTCCATGTCTTCGCATGCTGCGGATGGACCGTATTCTGGAGGAGAACCGACCCACTCGACTGCGACGGTAGGGAATTTCCGGAAGATATTCTCCGCATCCTCGTTTGTTCGATCGCCATGACACCCGTACACGGAGCCGTGCTCGGCGGAGTCCGCACCCCGTCGACAATGGTGGGGACGACTGGAACGAGCAGGATAGGTAGGATGAAGATTGGTTCGCTCGCTGGGAATCCTGTGTAGCTCTCCGCATCACCGACCGGATAGCGTTCAGGAGTCGATAAGCGTTAGGAGGATACTCACAGAAGTTTGATGCGCTCTTTACTCGGACCTGCTTCGAAGCCGCTGGACTGGTGGGCGCATCCGAACAGGTCGAGCAACCTTTTCGCTCATCCTGTAGCGTTTGGTAAGCCGCCGTCACGTATTGCGTGTCGAAAACGCAGAGGAGCCATTGCAGGGCCACCACGAGCTCTTGACGGACCAGAGGACTCGCATCCCACTGCATATTCGTAACGAGGATATTCCCTAGTTGACTATCGGTGTTATCCGCATGGGACGTCCGCTCCGTTTGAGAATTCAGCATGGTGCCCAAGGCGAAAACAGCGGCGGCGCGGACCTCAGCTGAGGGATCTTGAAGTAGAGGCACGAGTCGCTCGTGGGTCGATGAGCGGATACCGAGCCATTTCGCTTCGCAGTAACCGTCCCACAGACGACCGAGTAAGATGCAGAGCCATTTTTTCAGACCTTCCGGAAGGTTGTCCGATAGCAGCTCGGTGCATGCCGCGACGACCGGCCGCTGCAGACAGACTTTCTGACCCTTGTGGTGACCATCAGCACAAAGACACGATAGGATAAATGCCGCCATGGTGCGATACTTCATTGGCAGTGTGGCGTCCTGGAGCGAATCCAGGAAGTACTTGTGAGAGTTCTCGCGTACTAAATCCACTTGGTAGGTGCAATCTACTGCGAGAATCTTCGCCCAGATGAATACGAGCAGCGGGCGGAGTTCACGGGCTTGACTTAGCAACAACTTGAGGATGTACGGGAAGATTCCGACTGATAGGGCTAGAGACACTGCCCACGGTCCGAGGTCTAGAAATTTTCCTAACAGCTCGAGGGCCCGAGTTCTGTGAACCTGACTCAACAACACCTGAAGGAAATATTCAGCCCTCAGATATCGGTCCCATCTTGATGCTCGATCCTATTCCTAATGCATATATGATCATTAATCACAACATTATATTGTTTATATTGTTGTCATATTTACACCGGAGGTGCGAAAAATTTTCGAAATCGACGCGGAGCGAGACCACATTACCTGCAGAACTATGGGGAGTTGCTCCGGCGGCGACGGCTGCGCATCCAAGGAACTAAACCTCAACCAGACCTCGAAGGCCGTCAACTGATCGGCGAAAAATTGTGAATGAGAGAACGGGGTGTCGTTCTTCAACATGCCCGGTAGTTGACGTAAACAGCTGTCTAGAGCCAGATCCCAGGCCTGCCACATAGGGTGTTGGAACGTTTTTGGCAGAGCAGGACTCGATTGTGGATTGCAATCGTAGACTCTCATCACTCTCTCGGCCAACAGAAAATTTCGAAATAGTGAGGCGACAAGCAAATCCTGTCGGAATAACTTTTGAAATAGTGTCTTTGGGAGAACGTTCCACGCGATTGTATCAGTGATTGCGGTAAATATCCAATTCAATTCTCCGAGCATTGTCTTCCGGTCTGTCAGTAGGCCGGGAATGCTGAAATGATTTTTGAATATCTTCAACTCGTCTATTTCGGACAGGGTTCAGGTTCGACATCCTGACTCCAGATGATCCGTTGGACTCGAATCGGGGGGAACGTGAGGGAACTCACTTGTCGATGTCCTCTGGCGTGAGATCGGGAACAAGTTTAAATGAATTATTCAACACGTAACATTTCAAAGCCATTTGGATAGGTGTGGTCAGACACGCCGTGAACATGTCCGCGGGTAGCGAGGGATCCATGGGCAGGATTTCGTCCTGACGACATGCTGCGAGCTGGATGCAGTTCCTGCAGAGAAGAGATCGTCAAGTCCAGATCGGAGCACCGAGCACAGAGCGGCAATCATGTGAGAGGAGTAACCCAAGACGGGAGTACTTACTCGTACGAGGCCGTACACGTCTGACCGTTTTGTAGAGTACTCGTCATACAAGCCGTATGCTGGTCGTTCCGTTGACCCTCTATCGTCCAAGTTTGTAATTTCGAGAGCAGGATTCCCGCCGCTGAACAATCGTACACGTAAATGGACGGTGATCCCATCCATTGGTGAAGATCGTATAAGGACAGCGGTATGTATTGAGTATATTGCTGAAAGGCGAAAAATAGTCGACTGAGTTTTTCTGCCCTCTCCGATTCCGTACGATGCCACGGATCTGTCTCCGACAGAGACGAACACAACCAGCGTCGCTGACCGGTCATGGTTGATTGGCGGTTGGTATTGAACGAGACCAGATATCTCAATCATGAACCTACCCTATTGAAAACCCAAATTTCTCCATTGTGCGTAGGTTTGGGCACTCCGTGTCCATTGTAATGAAACAGAACTCGTTCATCCTTGGCGCTTTTTCTCAGACTTGTGCAGAGCTTCTTGACGTCATCGAACGTAGGATCGAGCGCCTGCTTGTATCTCGCTCTCGTTTGCCATCTGATAAGCATAATTAGTATACACGAATTAATATCGAAGGAGTATTTTCAGTAATACGAATTAGCGGGATCGTTTTCTCGTTAGCAACCCGAGTCTCATCTCCCGGTGGAAGAGAGACCGCGGTTGACATTCTGAGGATTCCGGGACCAGCAGGCCTTCGCCTGAACTGATAGGGACTCCGGTGCCGATCCGACTTACTTCTCGTATTGCTTTTGGAGAGCTTGACCGATCTGATCCAGCACCTTGGTTGAAGGTGTTTTCGCCATATTGGCAATCGGATCGATCCAGCATTCCATTCTGGCGCAGGGATTGATCTTGACGACGTCGGGCGGATCCACCCCGATATTTAGACACATTACCAACGCCACGCTGTTGGTCCGCATCTGGAAGGATCCAATGGAGCTCCTTCAGGCTCGCTCCAACAGCCTACAGGACATCGAAAACACTGTAACGACGGCGCGGGACTCACCCGCTCTTTTGGTCGGAACGTCTGAGGTAGCAGGGCAGGGTCTTCTGCAGGGTAATGCTTGCCCTTCTTCGGCTGATAGATGGGCAGCTCACGCTCTTCGCAGAGCTTCTTGAGTTCTTGCTTCGAAAGCTGTTCGAAGCGCAGCAGTCCCTTCGGGGAGATGACGGCCAAGGAGGGAGAACCCCGGCCCCCCATGGCCACCCCGACTGGCATGTGATAGCGAGGAGACTGATTTCTCACGACTGGAAACGAATTCAGACTTTATTGTTTCGGCCGCTTCTATCGAGGACGATTGGTCCCTGTACAGTGCTTTTCCTCTCGGAGGGCTTTCCTCGGCACTCTAGCTCTACCTGGCCGTTCCGAAAATTCAATGTGTGGAGATCTTAAAGTCGAAATCGTAGCGTTCCCAGACAACCGTAAAGCTTTGGCGGCGATAAGCGCTAATTCCCCCGCTGACCGATCGAGTACCGAAACGCAGACAAATATCGCTTACATCTGACCGACCAAATCTGCCTTTCTGTGCACTGGGATAGCGAGTTCGCCCACGAGCAGTATCTATCTCCGAGAAACTCGAGAAAGGAATGCGGAAAATCATAACGTCTCACCACCTACATCAGTGACGTCTGAACGATGTCGAAGACTCAGGCTCCCGAGGACATTAGACCGGCACTCGATTCGGAAGCTTGTATCAAAGGGCTCGGAACCTGACAAGGATCGTTATACCGGTTTAGCGAAACTCTGGATCGCAAGGGGTTCTCAGAATGAGACTATCCTTCGTCAGTTCCCTTAATTCTCGCGCGGAAGACTGGAGCATCCGTTCGATCGAAGTGTGGTTGCTCACGGATATGGAATGGATATGGCACGGAGCAACTGAGGTCCCACGCACAAGCACGAAGGGGTGAGCGGGTAGGTGACATCGAACTTGACAACACCGGGAGCGTCGAATAGACTTTGGACCTACTGCAGGAGAGCAAGGTCACACACCGGCAGATCAAGGTAGAGGAGCGCGACCAACATGTAGTAAAACGTGAAGACGTCTTCTCGACGGCGAACACTTGTTAGCCATTGACCCATAGTAATCATCGATTCCGACAGTTGAGACTGGAAGCCATGTGGACGGACGACCAAATAGACTAGCGCGCCGTTGGGCAGACACGCGGAACTGGCCAAACGACTGAAACGAGAAAAGTCGGCGACGTTTCTCGTTGCGTTCGTCGTACGAAACGGTGGGCGACCTGACTTCGTCGCTTGCTTGAAAGCATTGCGGAACGGTGCGCGCCGAGCGGATCGAGCGCTAATCGGCATCTCAACGGACTTCCGGCATTTACTTAACGCCGAGAGATCCAGATTGAAGATCAGTGCATGATTTTTCGCAGACGATTTGATCGGGAGTTTCAGGAATCGGTCTTCGCATGACATCGAGATATACAAACAAACGAACAAACAAACGAACGGTACACAAAAGTATTAAACACAAACGACGAGGACCTGTTGATCTTCCTCCAGCATAGATGAATGTAGGAATTGGATGGGAGTACATGGCTGGGAGAGTCGCTTCGGTCTACTGACCTGGCTGAAAATTCCATAACCACATGCCCCGTTTTATCAGGAGACTGTTCAGAGTTCGGAGCAGCTCACGCGATGTGAATCTGCGCCCATGAGCGACATGCGCGTCATCTCGTGACGTTGCACTTGTGCCGCTGTGGCTCGGAGCGCGACCTATTCGTCGCATGTGACGTACGGGACTCCTTCACGTCACGTAATGTCTGACTGACGTCCGTTGTCAGCAGCATTCCGGTCGCAGGAGGGACAGCAGACGCGACGGCGAGAATACTCAAGATTACATCCGAAGAGGCAATATCAATAACGATACAGAACGCTACGATCATTTGATCTGATCGGACCGGAAGCGATGATGCACTCAGCTGGTCCACACTTCATTTAGGCCTCACGTCAGTCGATGCCTCCACGCGTCTACGTAGCATGTACAAAGGGCTGTCAGCTAGAGAGAGGGAACGGAACTGAACAACGGCCCGTCTTGGAGCGACGAGCAAGGCAGTGACGTAGGTTCGAGTCGCCCGATATGGTTCTGATGGCTACCTATCAGAGCACTACGCGACGCGATTCGAGTAGATGACATCCACGAGAAAAAAACGACGGACGTGGCTTCGGTGACGCGATTCGATCCCGGAACTCATGAATAGAGTTGGCGGAGACGCGCAGAGCGAGAAAAGCGCGAAAACAGCGCGTCGACTGCCGAATCGGGAATTCCCGACAGATAAACCTCTGAGAGAGAAAGACAAGTCACATCGTGGGGAGGAGAAGAGACTTCGACGAGCACCGGGAGCTATTCAGCGACCTGAAGCCGACCGGATGATTCTCGCATCCATAAGGGGCGAAGCCTACGAAATTCGGGAGAAGGCGAACAACGTGTGGCCCGAGTATTCCCGATCGTCGGAAGGCGCTAGCACCCACCCGCGCTACCATCCCGCGTGGTCCGTCAATCAGCCTAACCCAACGACCCTTTCGCGGAGTTTCCAGAGAAGCACGCACGCGAGGGCTTTCGCTCAAATGAGAGAAATCCTTGTTTCACCCTACTACGACTCTCGCCGCTCTCGTACCGAGCAGTCAATTTTTTCATCAATTATCCGAGCAGTCGACTTGCGTTAGCCAACCCGGCAATAACCGCTGACCACGACAGCCGTCTGCCCGATTGAGATCGCGGCAGCGAGCTTTGGAAGCATTCGAAGAGATGATTTCCGAGGCAATTCGCAGCGATTTCTAGATCCGTGACAACGCGACGAACACCCGCTATGGTCACAAGGCGTGATCGTCCAAAGCATCACCTAACGACGCAAAATGCCACTCATCGCCGTCGCTGCCTCCCTCAATGGATGAAGGCGATAGTGAAGAACTTCACGATCTCTAAAAGCGATTTGGACATGGTCAACCCGCCCTACAGGAACCGAAACGGGGCTCTCATGCTGCCATTTATTGACACTGCTCTCGCCGAATGCGCGACCGATATCTTCACGCTAGGGGTAGTAAAGGTAGTAGTAGTTCACGACGCGCGACGCACGAGGTGTCGATTCGGGAGAATCGATCCGATACGCATTCGAGGGGAGTTTATGGGTCGGCAACAATAAATCTGACGCGATGCACCTTGATTGTTTTTATTCCGATCGTGTTGTGCCGGGGCGTGCGTGTGTTTGTGTGTGAATGAGTGAGTGTTGAAACATCATCACAGAGCACCACATGGGCGGCTAGTGGCGGTCACCAGTAACGGAACTCATTAATGCGCAATTGCTCGAGGCTGCCACCCCGAGATCCGCATCAGGGCGACCAGGGCTGGCTAGTTTCTCCGTTTCGCAGAGGAACTTGGTCTCTCTGGCGGAAAAAAACTTACCAAAACAAACAAGAGTCCGAACTCAGCTGAAAACCATGTGTCGTTGATGGAATACCGTCGCACGGTCGAATTCGCGGTCGAGGTTTGCGAATGATCCCGCAGGCGCGAATGTTCTCTCATCGGAACTCCGTCGACAGAAGCCGACGTAACAGTTTGCACAGTTTGCTTATTACAGGAGATGATCACAAGGTCCGAAATCCTTAACGGACTTGGTCTGTGTACATTTTCTGCTACTACGCAAAATGCTCGTTAGTAGACTTCAAAATGCGCAGGGAAGCAGCGACACCCGAACGTTGTTCCTCTAGAACGCTGGAACGATATATCCGATCAAGAGTCCATCCAGAACACGAAGAAACGCAGTAGGAATGATCGCTATAAGGTGTCCTAAAGCGAAGTTGGGACGTCTACGATCGCAGACGACTCGACGGTGATCGATGATGATGATGATCGCTGCCTGGGGGTCTCCAAACCAAGACAGCCGTGTTCTCCTCCTCCACCTCCTCCGGGTCTTCCGTCGTAGCAGAGGGGTGATATTCACGAACAAATGCTGAGCATTCTAGAACGGCGCGCTTGTTCGGAGGAATATTCCCTTGAGCTTCCCCCGCAGGGCGTGAAAACCAGGTAAAGGCCACAGCCACGGTCCGTCGCGCTCGACATCCTGCCGACTGAAATCCTTTCTCTGACTATCATCTTTCGAGCCGAGAGCGGAGAACGCTCTGGGATGACATATTTCTACGCGGGCGTGATCGCGAGATCGCATATGACTTCATGACAGGGACTAGAGACATTTGCGCAGGACAATCGACAAGTCCGATCCGGGAGGTCGAGAATCTTCACTTGATATACAAAAATATTCGATGTAGGGAAAGATGGCAGCGTAACGGGACGCCGTCCCCGGAACAGTCTGACGCATTAGCCGGAGCGAATGATGCTGAGAGACAGCGAACAAGAACTCGCAGAGCGCAGCGCGACATACTAGAACGTTGTGCTGACGATGATCTTTGCTCGCAGGCGAGAATGCTCTTCTACATAGAATGGCCCGAGCTTCGACCGCCTCGCACCGGAATGAAGTAGAGTAAGGGCCGAAATCGAGCGGAAAATCCGTTTCGTTTTCTATCCGTCCAAGGGAACCTATGGCAGCGTGCAAAAAGTCAGAGCCAAGCTCTCAGCGGTGAAGGTATCGCTCATCAGGTGTCGCGCCATACGCCGGGGCCGCGCCGCGGCGGCCGTCACTCCACGCATGCGGACCGTGGAAGACTTATCGAGAATACGAGCACAGGTCCGTAGAAGTTATTAGCTCCTCGACGATGAACCGAGTTCACAGGAGCTACTCCCAACGTTCCAGTTCCATCGCCCGAGCGCAAGAGCCACCACACGCTCCCTTCCGCATTTACCGGTTATCGCGCTCACGGCGTCTGATCGCTTGACGTCGATAAGCATGACTCCGGAGTGTTTGCCTTACAACTCGAGGTCCGATTCGCTCCCTATGAAATCCCATCGCTTCGCCTCTCAGTCTTACGTGATCATGGAGGATGAGCGAAGCGAGGCGATCCTATGATCCTGAATACAACGTACAGCTGAACTTTTCGACACCGAAGATGAATCGTCCACACGAGTTCCATCTCATTTCTTCTTGGCTTAGCTCTCCTCGTTCGATATCGATGAGGGGTGTCCCATCGCAAGTTTTCTATTCCGAGACCCACTGCAAGTTTTCTATTCCGAGACCCACTGCAAGTTCTCGGAAAAATCACAGATCCGATACGCATCACAGCTTATCGCGCTCTTCGTCACGAGAAACTGATCCTTATTACCAATCTAGCCACCTTATCGGTCACTGAGCGGAGCCAGCCTCTGATTGCGGGCCCCCGGAGAGCAGAGACTTGTCGGAGTGATTCGGCGATTCACCCGTTTCTCTAGTCTCACCCCGACCCAATCAAGATTCGACTCCCCGGGAAAATCAATAATTTTTCCTAATTGGCGTGAGCCGCGTGATGCAGTACTGGGGAGGAACTCGACCTGGGAAACCAGACTGATCCGGCTGCATGTGCGTAGGTATAAGAAGCCCACCATGTACATATATCTCCGCACTCTCCGATTCTCACGGAGTTTCCGAATTCATGACGTGCGCGCGCACGAGGCACTGGCTTTCGATCACCCCGTACACCTCCTCAAATTTCTGATCGATGGAAGACAGTGGTGTGTTTTATCCTTTCGAACACTTCATTCGTTTGCCTCTTCCTCCTCGCCCTCGTCTTCGTTGGGCACTTTGTGGTACACGAGCTCGAAGGCGTCTTTGGTGGTCGAAACAACTTCTTGGTGAGATACTTCAGATACGTGGAATGAGAACGGGGGCAATTCAAAGTCTGGATCTATCCTCAGCGCGATGCGTGACTCCCTAAGAACGAATGTCGTTGAGTTTTCGGCACCGGCCTTGCCATTTGAGGCAGGCGGGCTTCCTAGATAGCTCCGAGTTGCAACCGTAGTGCGGCAGCGTCCTGGACTTATCCAGCCTTGTGACCGTGGCAAAAGGGGGTTTCCAGGTTCACTTTCGAAATTGTTGCTCGAGTATTCGGCACCGAACTGAGGTAGAGCGCTAAGATAGGCTTCTTAAGTCTGCACTCCCGTATTCAACTCGAATGGCAGTCTCCAGGCCTGAGGGGACCGCGGCGTAGGAGATTCGTCGTTTCGCGCACCGCAGACCCGATTCTCCGTCGAAGCGATTCGGGATCGCTTCGTCAATCAATTTCATGTCAAGGAAACCGAATCTCACCTTTTGGAGAACGCGATGTTGGAGGTGATGAGGATCTTGTTTTTTTCGCGGGACACGACGATCTCCTTCCCGAGGTTGTTGGTCTTGTTGTTGGCCTTGATCCTGCTGTTCAAGAAGGCCTCCTGTAACGTTCAGGGCGATTGGGAAAATCGTCAGACGGTGACACAAAAAGTCTGCCTGGAGTAGAGGGGGAACCAGCAAGCAAGCCTAACGTCAACAAAGCATGAAACCAAATACTCGAGCCCAAATCGGCGATTAATCGATAACTTTCTTAGGGGCGTGTTGATTCGAATCGGAGAAGATCCAATCCAGGAATAGGACCCTCCAGCCGAAAGCCCAATCAGAGCTGGAGAATTCAGCAGCGAACGGCAGCGTTGGTTGCGATGAATTCGTTACTCGAAGTTCAGAAACCTACGCATGTTGGCATGGGGAGTTCTACCATCCGGGTCGTAGCATTTCGTTACGGACTCGGTCCACTCGGCCAGCATTCTCAGCTTACGCGGGAATGGCCTCGAAGAGCCTGAGCTACTGGTCTTCGGAGCGAACCACTTACGAACTCGCTGACTTTCATGATGCCATCTTCGACGGGGTTGGCACAGTCGACGAATAATTCCAGTTGACCTTTCTCGCCTCCGACCTTCTTGACGCTGCTGGACAGGCTGTAGTGGGCCGCCCGCGGCGGCCAACGGACTCGATTCATTCCCGGAGAACGACGATGTGTAATAAACATTCGGCTATCCGCCATTCACTCTGCTAGACGTATTCTCAGTGTCGTAGTGTGGTGATCTCCCACAAGGCGCCTGCTCATTTGAGCAGAGGCGCGCACAGGGGGGGGAGCCAAGGGGGCCATGGCCCCCACCAAAATTCTTCGGTTTCAATGCTGAAGTATGGACCCCGAGGAGGCGCGTCATCATTTTTGGTCGTCTGGCCCCCTCCAAAACTCTAGTTTCCCCCCCCAAAAAAAATTCTGTTCGCGCCCCTGCATTTGAGCGCAGTTCAATTCGAGCGCGATCAACTTGCGCGCGTGTCCGATTTGCGCGCGTGTCCGACTTGCGCGCAGGTCAAGTGGAGTCTCAGGAGCTTGAATCGATATGCAAGGGCAGAACGAACGGGATTTTAGCGATCAGACAAAGCGACGCTTGATTTATTCCATGCAGTTGTCCTAATTCTTATCGTTAAACTATTCCTTACAAATGCTATATCACAAGCGTATATTATGTGCAACCGCCTTCAGATAGTGCAAGACTTGGCGTCGGTCATATGACATTACAATGTCTTTCAACCGCTCCGCTCTGTCTCTAGAGACTATCTTCGGTCTCGTAGATCTGTTTTGTGCGAGTGAGTTCGTAAGCGTGAACTCGGTTCCTCCTTGTTCTACCTTCAGACATCGGATAAGCCGGGAAAAGCTTGGATGATGGGCTCCCAAACGATTCGAAAAGTTTGAGTGCCAGCCTTCAACCTCATTGCTGGTGCGGCTCATAGAATTTCCGGCGACGGTGTGAAGATCCCACCAATCGTGTTCCATGGTGGGCGGGTGACGATCCCGGCCGACCCAGGTGTTTTCGAAGTAATCGATGAAATCTGTCAGGATCCTCAGATGCTCTTCAACAAACTCCGACTTCAGGAGGATCTCGAATGTTCCGCGAACGTTTTCAACTGGAACGTATGCTATTGCAGCGAACATTCGAACGTTCAGAGCAAAGTCAGTAGAGCTCTAGTACTCCTCGCGGAGCTCCGCTATGCCTTGTATGTGCCGCCATAGACACTGGTTAAACTGGAAACAGCAACCGATTATCCCCGCCGCGGGGGAAGCCGCTTCCAGCTGTTTAATCATTGCTAGCTCGAAGTCGACGTGGATAGTTTGTGGATGGCAACCATCCAAGGCATCCTCAATGATGGTGACCAATCTCCGATGGGTGCTTGCCTTCTTGTCCGGGAGCAAAGCATGAAGACAGGGGGACACCCCCTCCTTTGGCTTCTTGCAGGGCTTCCGAACGGGTTTCTGGAAAAGAAATTCTTCTCAGACGGAGGATTTCGCGACGACCACGGGTATCTGGAGAGCCCGTCACGCACGGAACCATCGCTGTGGTTTCAACTCCATGTGCCATGTGGAGATGAGCGGAAGTCCGCGAACTACGCTCCAGATCGGAACGATTGAAGAAACCCCAGAAATTCTTCCCATGCGCATGGACATTGAGTTGGCGCAACTTGTCGAGCTCGGGGTACTTGCGGGCGAAACCCTCGGGTGACTGCGAAAACCATGTCCATGCCTATGTGATCTCTTCCGACTGTGGAGGCGAAATTCAAACTTAAGCCGAACAGGGTTCTCTCTCTGCTTTCATGACAAATCTGACTATGCGGACGAAACATCTGGATTTACTCGGAATCATCAGCATCGAATAAGTGAGGAAACCAATGTCAGCTACGGAGTATCTCCGGAATCTTCCCAAAAGGGAATCTTGCTCAAGCCAGTGTCCCCATGGCTGTTCGACCATTGTGTTACCCAGATCCGAGCAATCAGCCGCGAGTAGAGTAGAATTAATGAACTGGTCGACCTTAGCACGGCTCCCAATGAGTTCCAAGCAAAGCTAAGTGAGAATGATCATTTCGAAAATGTCTGTGTATGGCTCGATTATGAGGTTCTTATCGGACGTATCAGCGGGAGTGCCTCTATGTGTACCTCGCCTTCGTAACCTAAGATTTCTCCCGAACGGCGATCTACTATACTGACCGTCAAATGGGGAGAGCTCGCCGAGCTCGGGAGGGAAGAACCCTCCCTCCTGTTCTTCTTGCTGTAGTTTTTGTTGCTGTTGCTCTTGCTGTAGTTTTTGTTGCTGTTGCTCTTGCTGTAGTTGTTGTTGTTGTTACGGCGGCTGCTGTTGTTGCTCCAGCAAGCTCCGCACCACCCGCGGGAAAGCTGCTCCTGGGTGCAGGCGTGCAGCTCCTGGGAGCGGGCAAGCCGCTCCTGGGAGCGGGCAAGCCGCTCCTGGGAGCGGGCATGCAGCTCCTGGGAGCGGGCAAGCTGCTCATGGAAGCGGACAAGCTGCTCCTGTAGCCATCGCTTGTCGGCCTCGAGCTCCTCGATTCGTCTCTGCAAGGGTGGAAATCACCGTTTCAGAAAAGGCTGAGATCGCAACCTATCATTTCGTTCTTGAGGAACTACATCTCAGTGTGGGGCAAATTTTCGCCGTGATTATGATTATGATTTTACCGTAATCATACGCATGCGTATGATTATGACCTTAATCATACGCTTGAGTATGATTATGACCGTAATCACAATCACACGTGTGATTTTGATTATAATCATAGTCATAATCACGGAAATCACCGTAATCACACGCTTTCGTATGATTATAATCATAATCATACGTGTGATTATGATTACAATCATACGCACTCGTGTGATTACGGCCGAAATCATACGCATGTCTGTGATTATAATCATAATCATACGTGTGATTATGATTATAATCATACGCACTCGTGTGATTACGGCCATAATCATACGCATGTCTGTGACGCATGTCTGTGTGTCAGGTGTACTACACCTGGCAAATTGACAAGCTCCGATTGCCATGGACGTAGATGCCCCAAATAATGTGCAATAATCTCTGGAATATTTCCATCTCAATGTATCAATGAGGTTATAGAACTCGCACGAGAGGCGGAGGGAAGACTGGACACCCGGCTTCACCGAGGGAGGGCTTTGAATTTCCTTAGTTCCTACTTGTCTTCGAACGGATTCTCGAAGTCGAATAGGTTCAGATTAAGTTCCATAAAGAGGAGGCTTCAGATAAGTCGGGGCAGGAGCGAATTCGGCGCGCAGGACAGTAAGACGCTGGTCGCTTTTCGATCGAAATGAATACATACAACAGGGAGGCATGAATGAACCCTTGTCCAAGCATGAATCGAAAACTGACTGATACCTACTCAAGAAGTGTTTTTCAAAGGAGTCATCAGACGCATAGAGTTCCTCACGGAGAATTACCCACCGCCGGAAAACTTAGGGTTCAGACATCGGAACCCTGGACGCCATTCATGTGGTCATGTCTGAGATCGAACGCAACTTGAGCAGCCCCGGAGAACACACGTACGCGGCGCTGATCGATTGTCAAAAAGCGTTCGATTCGGCTCCTCGTCAAAAATTGATAAGAACATTCAGAAGAGCCGGGACTAATGGACAAATGCCCAGGGTGATAGAAAGTTTCTACAATCAAGACTCTCTAAACGTGGATGTCGGCGGAGGGGTGACGATTGACATCATGAAGAACACAGGCATTCCGCAGGGGGATCCATTGAGCTGCACGGGATTAATCTTGCTGCTCGCAGACCTTCCGTCGAAGATAGAGGATGGATTCAGCACGGCACCAATCGCTATGTTCACTGATGATATCCTCATTATGCATAAGAACCGACACCAGCTGCAGAAGATGTTGGAGATCATCGGAGGCCACCTCGGGGGGGAGGAGCTCCGACTGAATCCAGAAAAAAACATGGTCATGGATATAAGAAGAGGGGGCCTCTGAGCAAGCGAGATCATATCTTATGGAAAGAAAGAACGCTCGGATTCGTGTCCAGTGCCAAGTATCGAGGTATCCGACAAGAAAAGACGGGCACCTGCTTCACCAACCATATTGAAGAAGTTTTCTGTAAGACCGTCGCTGCTATGCACGCCGAAATAGGAGACCCTTACGTCCTATCGGTCGACACAGCAGTGAATCTGGTCATCATCAAAGCAATGCCCGAGCTTGCCAGCGGGATGGGAAGACTACGGCATCATCTTATCCCGAGGACCTTCAACACGCTGGAGAAATGTTACTGCTCATACATGGAGAGGGTCCTCAAAATCTCCAAAAGCAGTCCCAACATCGACTCACCATTCGTCGAAATCTTGAGACTCTACTTAAAAGCGACCCCTACAGCAGCACAGTATGTTTCCATGGACGAGTGGAAGCGAAAACTAGCGGAGACGAAGGAGATCCTGGAGGGCGACCCCATCGTGGAATGCAGGGAGTGGTGGAGCAAGCCGATGTTCCCAAAGAGGCACGTATTCACACGCCACCTGGTGCACGGCTACCACCACAAGCCCTGCATCACTTCCGGACGTTACATACCAAACGACGAATGTATCTGTACATTTTGTAGAGAAGGATGTCCCCGCTACCATGCTCTGTTATGTGAATCGAGGCCGAGACTCGACGAGCTCGGATGAACCCAGTTCTATTATGTAGTATACATGCAATAAATCTTTTCTCAAGAAGTGGAACACGCAACCATGCTTTCAGCTCCCGAGTATAAGCCATCAGGTATTGCGCCTGGAAGCGAACCTATGAGTGGAGCCTCTCAGATAGATCGAGGTCTAGACTCTAGAGCCTGCGCTCCCATTTAGAAATTTGGCCAGCTACAAGAATGAAGGCTACCTACTGCGAGAGCGCCATTCTTTTTGGTGGGGGTATTCACCATCTTTGGGGCGTAGGACAACTTTCGCTCCTATAGAAGCCTATGAGGGGTGAAGCGTGGCTTAATAACATTGAGGTGGGAATGGGAAAAAAAGTTCGGGGAACACTGCTCTGAGCGCCCGTCAGGCTCCGTAACCCACGCATATCCGCTGAACACATGGTTAAGATCGAGCGTGAGAAGTTATCTTGTGATTTCCAAATATGAGAGCATAGCTCTTTCCCGCGCTCCCCAATACCGCGACTTCAGGTCGATATTCCCTCTCATCAGGCATAAATTCATTCGGGACAAAAAAAACAAGGACACAGTAAATTCTCGATTCAGTAAACAAGCCAGAGACCCTGCCGACTTTGTCTACTATTGCGAGCGCTCTACTGGATCGGGCGTCTTCAGCGTTCCCTCGCTATCGGTTGGGAACTAGGATTTCGTCTACTGAAACGTTACTTTCACTAGGTGGTTACAAAATCGAGACGAAACCGTATCTGGCTTGACGGGTTCAGTCCTCACGAGGCTGAGCAGCCACGTTCTTGAAGTAATCCAGATACGGAGCAGCTCCCCGAACGTCGACTACCTTGGCTGCTACGTTCGAGGATTTGCCTCCGACCACGTTTCCGGAACTTTTCCGCCAACCTAGACCTTGATTATGACTCAAGAAGATACAGAAGGTTCCGTCGAACTCACCCCCATGTTGCCTTCGCTCTATTTGTATTTGTATTTTGTTGGCCTTCTCATAGAGACGTGCTCGAGCTTCAAGACGTCTGCGGCTTCTCTCGTCGAAAAAGAGGGACGGGGAGAAACACGAGGGATCTCATGCTACAGTTTCAGCTCGGGTTCCATTCGTCAGAAGCAGAGGACATATAGGCACATTAGAATCGATGTGCATGGGAGACGTAGCGGACGTGCACCTAGATAGAGTCTTGTTCTGGCTGGCTGGCTAGTGGTGGGCCCTCGATCGGTCGTGACACCAGGCAGTAGGCTGCGAAGTGAATGAACTAGAGAGTGGACCAGAACGACTTTTCCCCTCTCCGAGTATCCCCACAATACCCCCGGACCATTCTGTTCGATAAAAAGAGAGCAGATCTCTGCAGGGTACTCGGGGGCAGATCTCGAGAGGTGCCCTCGAGCACTTTTAACATTCAGTACTTCTCCATTCTTCTGTCTCTATTGGCGTTCGGTCGCTGGCTCGAATGCAGGCCAGCTCAACGCGTATGGAGTATAAAGCTGCTGTCTCTATCCGTCCGTCGACACCTTCTACATGGACGATATCCCTCTGGGAAGTGAGAACCTCTAACTGTCTAATTAACAACAGATCTACTGTATCGACAGTCGAGGTCCTAGGAGCTCTGCAAAAGCTCATTAACCGGTTTTCCTCCGTGAGGACGATAACCTCAGACAATGGACTCTCCTTCCGAAGAGCCTCCAAAGGACTAAAGCTAATATACGAGAACGTCAAGAACGGAGAAATAAAAAAAAGACATCTCAGACTTGATGATCAGCTGGAAATTCATCGTGCCACTGGCACCGAACTTCGGAGCCTTCTACGAAAGACAGGTCCAGACCATCAAGAGACCGCTTCGAAAGATCCTAGGATCCGCAGTTCTTCACTTCAGAGACTTGGAGATAATCCTCAGCGGAATCGAAGCAATGACAGCCGACCAATAACCACGGTGGCTTGATGAGGAGTAAGTGAAACGCGGAGCGCGCGGAGACATCGAAGTCAACCGGCCACCAGAGGGCGTGGCGGAATTTGGAGTGATGCGCGGGAATGTTTCTAGAATTGTCAGACCCCACTCTGACAATTCGGCGGGGAACTGCCACGAACAGAACCAGGTTCGTTGCGTCATCACCACTTATTTATTTGTCTAACAACACTAATCCGTTTACACCATACCTCGTTCCACGCTCCCAGAGAGAGACCAAGTAGTCATCGAGGGGTGATCTAACCATATACTCAATCCAAGGGATTGCTCCTCCTTCTCCCCTCGGTACACTTGATAACCAGTATTCATTATGTTATTAGTTATTATTATTTCCTGAGTTGGATAATCTCAATCAGAGATTTATGATTTCTTCTTTCCGAACAATGATGTGCACTGAATGCCATCAATGAAGCCTAATGTACTTCATCTATATGAAATTTAGAGAATAACGGTGAAAACGAGCAAGGTTTATATACCTCACTATACTGAAGAATATCACACGTATTCAATACTGCCTGGTAACTGCCTATAAACAATGTATTTTAGAAAAGTATACTGACAGAGATGGTCGGAGAGTTTTTAAGAAGGTGTGGAGTTGTTTAGGAGCACGTTGGAAAAAGTCAAGATATGAAATATCCTGATCGGTTTTATATTTCGTTAGAATGGTCTTGCAGTAGAGGAGGATATTCGCGCTCGTCACTGGAGTCAGCTCTTTGCTTGTTAGGGCGAAATCTCGGGTTTTCAGGACTTTGGCGCGATACGCGATCAATTCTTCGCGAACCCTAGATCAGCGCGATACGCGATCGACTCCTTTTCGGATCCTAGGTCTCGCATTCTCATGGCCCCTTCAGCAGGAGCGTCCGGCGATTCGCGATGCTCCCCTTCCAGGACCGCGCTGTGATGACAATCGGCGCGGGGCGCCGGCGCGGCCCGGCGTCGTGGTCGGCCCGCTGATTTAGCGGCCGAAGCAGACGTCCGTCATCTGGCCTCACGGCCAATCCGCCTGGCAATATTGTTCGGCTCGTTGACTACTGCTTGCGAACGATGTGTTATTGGTAGAACTGGTGGAGTGAGAGTGGCAATTTCCTTCCGTAGTCTCCTCGGCGAACGATCCGGCCACCAGTTCGAATTGCTGCTTATCTTTCCGCTGGGCCGTCTACGTGGGGAATTCGATGTTGCGCCCGGTACAGCCGTGATGGTTCCCCAAGCAAGACACAGGAGCGATAAAATGAACAACTGAGCGCAGTGATAGGAGCACAAGTGTCAGCAACGATATACTCCTCCTAGACTCGTTCAGGATTTGATCGTCAGCCCCTCCGGAACGTGAGCGACTGCGAGAATCCGCGGCGGGATCCTCGGAGGCCCTGTGGTCTGTCGTTCTCTGAGTGTCTTCGAAAGACCGAGAGGGGGAGAACGGTGTCGTGGGGAGTCTGTTTCGGAGTATCTCAGGATTCGTACACGGCTCAGGGGTCTACGCAGAAATGTGCAATCGACGTCGTAGGTGTCGTCGCTGTCCCAGCCGTCGACTCCGCTAGTCGGGTGAAGTGGAGGAACTTCATTCGGACAGCCATGCTCGGCCGACGACATTGATCTGATACGTCGGAGACTCATGTGAAAAAAAGTTTCCCGCAGCAACTGTCCCCCGAAGTGACCCGTAGACCGACGGCATGGGAGATTCTAATTATGCGTTCGTCGAGAGAGTGTTCTCGCCTTTCGTTGCCGTGTCGGCCAGCGAAGACGCTGAAGAGCTCTGCCTGAAGAATGAACTAACCTTCAGCGAGCTCATCCGACCCTTCTCCGAGAACATTGAAGGTGAGACGTTGTTTCCCTTCGCCCGAGTCATCGTGGACCCGGCCCAAAATGTGTAGACTGGGAGTTCTCACCGTCGATGCGAGAAACAAATATTGTCCGATTTCGCACATAATCTGTCTTTCCCCGGAGTTCGAACTCTCGATGGATGTTTCAAGCCTCTGTGTGTCGATGAGCTCTTCTCGAAGTGGCTGCCCATCTCTGGACTTCGAGTCCCATGGGGGATTAATCCGAATATGGACATCATCTCTCCTCCCCTAGGGACCAGAGATGATTCTGCTGTCACCTCAATCTTTACTCACCGTATATGGCATATTTCTAATGTGTGGTTCCGTTCGATTTCAGTCTCTCTGAGGGACTCAACTGGGAACTATGTTCCCCCCGTCAAAATCAGAATAAATTTCCGAGACTTGACCACAGCGACGCCACAAGCGTCGGTCGCGAAGCGTCTTCTCTCCGAAGCAGTGCAGAAAAATCAGCCAGATATCGACGGAGGACCTCGAAGCACGCCGATCACTCAAGGCCTCTACGAGGTTGACGTTTGCTGTGAGTATCTCACCGGGCTGGAGCTCCAGTCGAGCGATTCACATCCCGAGGCCTGATCCCAAAGATGACCTTGTGCTTCGAGAAGTTCCGGAAACGATCGGAGTGAATTTCGATATTCAAAGTTCACAATCAGCTCTCCTTGCAGCGACTACCCCGTGGTACGATGCGTACCGAGACGCCTTCTTCCAGGGCTTGCCTGCGCTGGAGCATGATTTCACCCGACATTACCTAGCTTGTGTATTCGTCGTGAGCTCCTCGCACCAGGCACCGCAACAGCAACTCCAACAACTCATTCATAACTTCAATCAAATACAGCTGAACCTCTCGCACCATTCGAAATGGTTTTTCAGCGACGTGGCCCACTACTATGTCCTGATTCACGATGGAAGTACAGGAGATAATCCGATGTGAGTTTGAGTTTCCTCCTCGTCTCGGGTCCTATGAATTCTCGAGCTGGATGTGTTCGAATATTCTAGTAGAGAAGCATAGATGGATGATTTACTTGGTATGGATTCCGTGTAGGTATGCTTTTCCCCGGGAGGACAGAATTCGAGATCTAAATGAAATTATTACATCTGTACCTACAGGGCCGAAGCAACGTTCTTATCGATGAAGAACCTCTACGGACAAACGAACTGCCATATGCTCACAATAAATTCGGTTACTCCGAGTCACCCGTCCCAGGACAACGATATCTGGACTCCTCTGATCGATTGCGGCTCAACCATCGATAATGGGATGCTCCCCGCGAAGATCGAGTCGAACGGCGTCAAGATCATCGGGGATCATCCCTTAGACCCCTTGAGTCCGATCGCAGCCCCGATAGAGGAGCCGATAACCCACCCCGGTGTAAAGAAACGCGGCACTTGGTTGACCACGACCGACCGCGAAAACATCAAAACTTTCGTCAGTGATTTCGCCTCGCAGTGCCTCGGTCCCTTCGCCGAACAGCAATTGAAGAATCTTAGTGAACAAGTAGCAAACAAGAAGGGGATTCATCGCTCGCTCGCCAATGCAGCGAAAAGTCTTTTCGCTGGCCGGGGCAAGGCGAACAGTAACAATCCAAATGCTGCGAATTCCGTCATTTACAGTCAACAAGCACCGGAGCTCCTCGTCCGTAAACTCGGTGGGTTCCGATCAGATCCCCATCGACACCCAGTGCCGCCCCAATTGTTCATGTCGTCATGAACGGAATTCGCTCCTCTGAACATTGTTGTGTTTTCCTCAGGGGACTTGGCTTTCCTTTTCCATCAATACGAGAGCGCATACAACGCGTACCATGCCGCCAAGCGCGACTTCCACGGCGACCAGGCCTGGCTATACTGCGCCGGCGCGGAGGAAATGGCAGCCCTCAGTGTATTCATGCTCGGGAAAGACGGTCCCCGGCCCTATCCCACGCATTACTTCGAGAATGCCATAAACGCGTACATGAACGTTTGCAAGTAGGTCTTGTGAAGTTGAATTTTGCCAGCGCGAGAGGTTGTTTTTTGTCGTTGTCGACGACTGATTTTATTCGTCTTCCAGGCTTTCTCAGCTCGCAACACGCGCCACCCTTCTCCATGCTGAATGTCTCCGTTCGCTGGAGCAATACCAATCGTTGGCGACGCAGTTGATCAAAATGATATCGGAAGATTCTGATCTTCGGTCGGCGCTGCTATTGGAACAGGCGGCATACTGCTACCTTAAGACAGAGCCTCTGCAACTGAGGAAATATGCGTTCCATATGGTGTTGGCGGGTCATCGCTACAGTAAAGCTGGAATGCGTAAGCACAGTCTGAGAGCTTACCGTGAAGCAGAACAAGTCTATAGAGGTCGGACTTGGAGCGTCGCCGAAGACCACATACTTTTCATCATCGGAAGACAGTGTGCAGCTCTCGGGCGGATCGACGAGGCTTTCCAAGCGTTCTATGGTCTCCTCAACAAACCGAGCCAGCAGAGTGCGCATCAGCAGAGCTTATTCGTCAAAGAGTTCCTGACAACGGTTCGAAGTGAGTTGAAGTTTGACTTCCGGGGGCTTTCGATATTTCCTCCAATCATTTCTTACTTCCAAAGTTTTCTGCGGGTAGAGCCGCGATTGGATACAATAGGATTCGCTGCTGCCGTAGGCTTCCCTGCTCAGAAAGCCGGAGCTTTATTGACCTTTTTTTTACTCTAGCTCTCAGCACCAAGGAGTTCGAGATGCCTCTCCCAAATATCGATATGAATTCCGTGAGGACAACCCTCGGTCACGTGACTCCGAGGGACGAATCACAAGCTACTGTGGACGACTGGCAGAAACTAGAGCAATGCTGTTATCTGAGAGCCACGGGTCAGAAATCTCTTCCTTTCAAGTATCGGAACGCGGTCGACGTACTCGACAGCAGCACGCTTAACGATCGACACCCGGTGGCGGTACAGAACGGTAAGCTGACGGAAAATCATCCCCTCGAATGCTGATGTGTGACCGCTCACCATGAGTCCAGATCCCTGACAGATGCCTCGCATTTGAATTAATTCCGTCTCTATCATGTTCTCAGAACCTATCGCCGTGGACTTATCCGTCACGAACCCCTTGCAAATAAACCTGTGTCTTTCACAAATCCATCTCTGCTGGGAGCTGACGGTCGATGGCGCGAGAATCACTAATTGCGAAGCTATCGGTGAGCTACAGCAAGAGCATAACGCGGAAGACTTCATGGAAACCTGTCAACTGGAGTTCATCACCCTCGAAGCCAAACAGACCATTGTGGTGAGTCTGCCGCTTCGATGCTCTCTTCCACTTTTTGGTTCCGATGACGTTGCCGAAACTGTCCGACCGTTCCCTCACTCCTTCTGTGGGATCGATTCTCGTTGCGTGCTGAAAACGTGTAAATTCCCTCCTCAGATAAAACTGACGCTCGTTCCAAAATGTGAGGGCCAGCTCGAGATACTCGGGGTTTCGTACCGGCTGTCTCTTCCCTCGCTTTCCCCCTGCCCCTCGTTGAACTCGCTGAACTCTGACATCATCGGCCTGACGCCGACGACGCCTTCGAGCGACTGTCAAGGCAGCCCCGTCAAGGGTTACCAGACTCTGATCGTGAAGGGTCCTAAAGAAAAGAATGCCAAAAAAGTTAGGAACAATCAGTGGTACGCCGAGGACTACAGACTTCGGCCGATTGTGGGACCGTGTATGCCCAGCTTGAAGGTGAGCTCCGAGAGAGGGATCCATTCAACAAAGATTCTGCATTCGTTCTCGAAGGTGCGGCGTTGTTCGAATCGGCTCCCATGGTGCTTCTGATTCCAGGTCGAGTTCGACTCTTTTCCGACTCAAATGCTCTGCGGGGAGGTGCAGCGGTTGACTTTACGATTGACAAACCCCGCCTCTCAAGGGCTTACGAACCTTTTTGTCGGCGTGAGGAACCCCAAGGAACTCTCTTTCGGATCCGGCGAGTCCCGCAGCTTACCGCCGAGTCACGCGACCTACAAGGAAATGTCTGCGAAAGGTGAGCTCTCCGCGGTAATGTTCAATTTCCGAATTAGCGATCGTCTCCCCCCATCTGGGACTCCTTGACGTATCCTTCGCATGAACCGAAAGACATCCGGACAGAGGGCGGCTCCGCTGGTCTGAATTCAAATTCGAAGAGCTTTTGTTTCTAGGCGCTGAAGGACCCTCTGTGACTGCGTTAGAGCGAATCGACACGAGTTACGTCACGCGAATTCCCGGACTCAATTCTATCGAATCCGGAGCTTCGGCCTCGGTTCCCGTCTGGATCCGAGGACCCGACGTCACCGGCGAACACGAGATCATTCTGCTGTTCTACTACGAGCACGCCGAGAATCCACCTGAGAGCAAAATGCAGTGAGTTGATGCGGAATTCCCAGTGATTCTACAAGATTGTACGGCCAACTCTCAAGATTCTCTATTTTCAAACGTTCAGGAGAAGCCGTCGATTTGTCCGACTCTCTCGGCGCTTCTTGAGCTCTTATGATATCCCGCCATTTACCGCTTTGCAGTCTGAATCGAGAATGGAGGTCATAATATTAAAATCTAATTGTCGATGATCGTCATTTTAGACATCGCGTGTGTAAATTCAGTGCCAAGATCACCACGATATCTTCGCTGGTGGTCCATGCGAACGCCGAGTCGAGCATCAAGGGAGACGATGTGGGCTCGCTGCTCGTTTCCGTCCACGCGAAGAACTCCAGTGAGGTGGGTGCCCTGGCGGAGCTAGTGTTTACGTTTCGATAACCTGACCTGTTGGACGACGACAACAACCCTACTGAACGCAATGGTTCCGATTCCATTGCAGCTCGAAGGCTCGAAATCAGTCGACCTGTCCCTGCTTCAAGTCACCCTGATGTCGGAACTTTTCACGATCGCCAGACATCTAGACATGCCGCCGAGGACGCCTACTCACTCTCCAGTGACAACCATTCGGCCCAGAGAAGTTAAAGACATCGCACTGAAACTCAAAAACGATAAACTCAGTTTCGTGGCGCGTGAGAACGAATCCGCGAAACATCTCAAGAAAATCAGTCAATGGCCTCTGTCCATCGTGAAGGTGGAAAGTTCCAGCACACCGTGCGCCGACTTCATGATGGCCAGTGCTTGTAGACTGGGCGAACTAAAAGACGAAAACGCTCCTTTGACATCGAAAGAAATTCTCGACATCGAAGTCGCAAAAATCAGAGGCACTTCGAAGAAGGAAACCCGTGACCCGTTGGACCTGACTGTGTCGATCATCTGGAAGGCCGCCGTAGAGCGGGACGGAGCGATGCAAGTAGTGATGGGACAGCATCAAGTGAACCTGCGTCAATTGCATGTTACCTACACCTCGTTCCCTCACGCGCGGAACAAGAAGAACCTGCCGCCTATCGGCGGACCTCTCCTCCTTCTCAGCAACCAGGCTCATCTTGCGATGCAAGCCGATACTTCGAAGCTAGTCTCAGTATCTCTCCTACATTCCGATTATATCCAGCACAGTTTCAAGGACAATCCGTGAGTATCGACAGGCTTTTCCTTTCGATCTTTGGGTCTGTTCAGACTCCGCCCTCGATACTCGAGTCGTTCTCTCCTCTAAAATTTCTCTCCGATGCCAGAATGCTGATCGTCGAGGTGACGCTCGTGTTGCACAATCCTTCGGTGGAATCCGAGGTCGAACTGATGATCTCCTGTATGGATTCGTTGGCTCCGAAGACTGCTCCTGCTCCTCCTCTCGGTGTGTCTTCCGGCTTGTCTTTCAACGTATCGCCCCAGAACCAAGATCAAAGCACAGACGACATCGGCGGTTTCGTTTGGACCACCAAGTCACGGATGACCACGAAACTATCGCCGGCTCAGACGAAGAACATCATCCTCAGAGCGGTGAGTGGTTTCTTGGACAGGTTCGCGATCCGATTCCTCTAGCTGGGCGTATCTAATCTAAAGTAATTCTTCCAGCTGTTCACTTCGACCGGGACGTTCAATGTTGCGTCTGGTCTCTGTATAATCGTTAAAACCGGAGACCAAGACAAGTTGTTATCGCCATTCCAGAGTATCCTGATAGTGGACGCGACAGATGAAATAAGGAAGTGATCGATGTTGGCCTGGTAGCGTATCTATTTTCCGGAGATCATTAGCAACAAATCGATTTCATAGCAATACCAACGCAGTTTAGGATTATCTAGATGAGGGTCGAATTGAGATTTTCCTCCGTTGCCAGTGTTGAATCGAGGAGGTTGTACAGGAGGGTGAAGGGAAGAATCATCTATGTCGAAAGCGAAAAACGCTATGCAAAACCTTCATCGCTCCCGATCAGCGTCGACAGAATATACGGTCGCTTTCTGAAGAGCTTCGGATCTGAATGCCGTGGCGGTGCAATGATTACTCTCTCAATTTTATGGATCTAGATTATCTTCTGATTGAATAGGGTTTATCTAGTCGTTTCTCACTGTTCGCGGTTTCTTGTTTCATTCCTACAATTTCCGTCATCATTTTTTTTTCTAGAATATTCAGAGTCTATCATGAGTGGGAAAAATAAAAGCATTTGTCAGTTGAAGTGGAGTGGATCAGAACCGTGCTTTTCCGCAGCGACGGAAGTTCTCTCGACCACGGAATTTTACATCACTGTCTCCCTCGGATGAGCTCGCTCAATAGCGAGATCGTCTTGTCCTGTCGAAAAAAAGCGCCTTGAGTACTTTTCTCTTCGGGGGATGAAATCGAAAGAAGCAATCCAGGGATCAAAACTACCGATCAAAAAAACCTTTTCTTCGAGGCGAACTTTTAGTTCGACGACCTCCTGGTCTCTTTCTTTGAGTTGTTTTTCGAGCTCTCTTATCCGTTGGAGGAGCTCAAGCTTGTGCGAAGACCGCTTACGGCGCTGGAAAAGACGAACATTTCGGGAAAACTGAATATTTGAGATCTGCCGGAGCCTGGGGGTTGATTGAGTGAAATGCTCATGTGAGCATTCAAGCTCCGAATACCGCATACCGTGCGCTTCCACGGGAATTTGTGGAAGCAATCGTCCGAGGAGTCCGCGGTGGTCTCGGCCTGGAAAATCACACAAAAACTTGGGACACCGGACAAAACAAAACGAGAAAATCGGTAAGCCGTGTAACTCACCTCCGGTGGCGGGGGTCTCGCGAAGTCTTTGCGCGAGTGGGAGCTTCCGGGCTCTTCAGCAGAGCTCGTTAGGTCGTCGGAGATTATCGAATCGATTGAAAAAGACCTCTTCTGCGTCAGGAGCCTTTGCTGCTTCGCGGTCAGCCATGGAGACAGAAAGTTCGCACTGGAACTCGGCGTGATCGTTTGTTCAACGGAGCTGTCGGTCCGCCGATCGGCTACTGTCACTCACGGGGGAACGAGTACTTTAAAGTGTTACAGCGCGGACACAAAGCTGACAATGTCGATGTTGTCTACAACGATTTCGCCACTTCAATAGTGTACGAGGGAGATGTGGGCGTTGTTCGACGCGCCTGCTAACTGGTAATTTTGACAAAGTACCGCGACGACAATCGTGTGAGTTCGGTGCACTGGTGTAAAGTTTCCATCTGCGTGGCCATCCGCGAGCCTTTCGGGCTGATCCGCGAACTTTTTCGGGCTGATCCACACAGCCAAGGTTTAACGTCCCAGGTACTGTTATTCACATTGCTTCCGAGGACGGATCCATAGAGCAAATGTACCCAGGAGGATCAAGGCCGAGTACCTGCATATTTTTCCGGCAGCAGGGATCGAACCCACACCGCCTCCCGCGCGAGCGGCGTCGTTGCGGCTATGCACGTTTGCACGAGAAGTGACAAACGCGCTAACCACTCGATCACCCGTCGGTTCTGGCTTCGAGAACCTACTGCGTGAGATCCGTGCCGGGATTCAGAAGGCATGTTCTCCTTCACAGTAAAACATAGGGAGACGCATAAAGCCTTTTCCTTTCCTGTTGAATGATTTCTGTTTTTTTTTCGTACGATTAGAGAGAGAAGTTATTTTTGATTGAAAATTTTGACTTTATTGTGGCCGATGATGTTAAACCGAATGGATTTGACGAATAAATTTCTTAACTGTCTAACAGACTAAAACTTCTCATAATTTAACATGTCGGGTTTTTCCATGTCTCGATGAAGCTCATGCGAAGGAGACCCGTAAGCTCTGCAAGGGTTCGGAAAGACTCCAAACACGGACTCGAAGACCCGAACCCCTGACCGACAGAGGTTTCATGTCACATTTTAGCGAACTGAATGAAATATTAAATCTTCCTAAGCTGAACGTTTCCGTGTATCAAGCCCCGGAACAGAATGACTCTGTGGCCGAGCTGCAGACACTTCGAGGTTCGTTATGAGCACGATTTTGACTTCGGGAACGCGGGTTCCCGATCCCACGCCGGATGGAGCTACAGTTCCAATGAAATTCTCTAAATTTGCGTGAAACGAACCCGGAAGCGTATGGCGGATCATAGTTACAACTTTTCCTAGGGTATTTTTCTCTTTACATTCCGGAGTCGGCCAACCATGTACAACGTTGACTCCCGTTCCTCTAGTTGACTCGGACTCCTCGATCACATGTTACCTAACTCTGTATGTACCCTCAACGCAAACGATAGACAAATCCTACATGAGGTCTAAGCGCTTGTCCCGGCATTTCGCCATGCGTTTCGTGTGGATTTTCCCCCGCAGAATGTTTCCTACGTTACGTTCAAACTTCGAGGGTTTCTCGGGCTCGTCGGAATCTTTGTTGACGACTAGAGGGGCTCCGAGACCGAACAGAGAGCGAACCTCGGGGTTGTATTGGAGGTGGTGTGACATGCCGGAACCCAAGATGCCACAGACAATATCGTACAGGCGCTTTTCCTCCCAAGTGATCACCTGTAGAGTCTCCACCCCGATCTGAATGCGAAAGTCCGGTCCTTCGCCATCCCGAACGGCTTTGACGATGTCTCTGAAGGACGATCTCTGCACTTTTCGGTCTTTTTTCGCGCGGAACTTCTGGGAGTCTGTAGCAAGCATCTGGAGATCCTCGCAAAGCCCGTCGAGGTCATCTCCTTCGAAACCACTGTCGTGCTCACGAGCGATTTCGTACATGGTGGCCAAAACCTCACCGGAAGCAATTCTCACGTCAACATCGGAGGCGTGCAGAAGACAAGATAGAACCGACAGGTTTCTGGAAGAGGGAGAAAGAACATCCTTTAGGCCTGAGATAATGCACTGAAATTATGCATTCTGAGCTGAGTTCCGAAATGCAAGCCAGACATCCATCGAACTTACTTGTCGATCAAGGCGAGAGAATGGTCTTCTGCGACCGTGAGGAGGAGACCCCACGCCTGTATGGCTGCTTGATGCACGGCGGACTCTGCTGCTGGAACGTTGGGCATGATCCCATCTGATTTCGGGCACGAGCCGACGAAGACCGCCTTCAGTTGTTCCATAGCCTGAAGAATGTTGAAAGGATCGTCTTCAGAGATGTACGTGGTGACGCCAAGAGCGGTGGCCATCTTCGTCCGTGCGGCGGCCGGTATGCTGGCATTGTGCATTCCTGTGATGAGAAGCTTGTGGACGGTTCGTAGGAGCTCGGTGCCTTCGGGGGAAACGCCGAATTGGAGTGCGAGGACCGAGGTGAGATGGGCGGCAGCGCCCTGCTCCTCGCTTTTGCCTTTCTTGAGACTCTTTTCCACGAGGTCGGTCATGGTAGCGGGTCTGTTAATGAGGAAATCCGGACAGTATTTATCAGCCAGATCCCGACTGAGCGCGATCAGATGTTGGAAGCGTTTTGGGGAGCTCTTCGACTCGGTGGCCCCGTCGAGATTTTCTTTGAGTCTGTCTTCGTAATCGGCATCGTCGAGAGATTCATCATCTGGAAATTCAAAGAGGGAAGGGCTCCTTTAGCGTGGGGATCGACGAACGAAGGCAAAAAAGCTCAAAAGGAATCAGGTGTGGATCTGGACAACTAAGCGAGCAACGAGTGAGAGAAGTTATCAGATTTAGCTCTTCCGTCGCTTTCTCTGTCTCTCCAGCAGCCTGTTCCGCCGTCTCCAACGCACTCACTCCAGAGAGGGAGAGGCGATGCTAGACTTTGCTCAGGAACGATAATTGTTTTTTTTCTCGCGCTCAAGGCCCAAAAAGTTTATCTGATCGGTTGTGTTCTGACGGCTGATCGCTGTAGCTGGAAGGGAGTGATCCTACGAATGCAGCAGAGCTGATCCGCGCAAGCGAAATTCCGAAGCTGAAGCAAACCAACCGACGCCTAACTACACCGAACCCTTGACCCGATTCGCGCTCACGGTAGTCCACGAACACCACTTCAACGAAAGTATGAAGATTTCTATAGGTTTGCTCATGATCTGAACAGAAGGTCACCAAATTTCAATCTCGTCGACGCGCACCAGTAGAAGATATTTCCATGGAATTGAGAACGCAACTTACCGTCTTCATGGAGGAAGTCATCCATGGAGCATATAGAGTTGCTTTCGTCGATACGCCGTCTTGGGTCCTCGTTGTATCCATCCTCATCGAGTCGACCTGTAAAGAGTAATGAGTTGAGGTGACGTGTTAAGAAAATCACCGGAGAGCGATTCCGATTCTAGCTTCATTCATCCGGAATGATCCCGAGATGCTAGGATCGGGAGATCAGCTGAGCGCTCGAATGGCGCGCGGTCGAGACCAACAAAACCGGGAGCGTTCCGGGAACAGAGAACATTGGAATAAAGGCTCGCCCAGGAGCTGCAGTGGTTCCAGGATACCTCAGGCGACATTCCGGGAAGAAAGACGACTCCGGAGCCGGGATGACTCCGGGAACACCGGAACTCAAGCTGGAAGAGCCCGCGGATAGCGATCGATCCCGATATCGATCCCGTGCAGCGAGCACGAACCCGTTGAGTGGTCGAGATTAGCTCCAGGATTCAGATCAAGACTCCGCTCGTGATGGAGAAAGTATGTCAACATCAGCGACTCTTCCGAGGGAATTATATCCGCTGCGAGACATCGGACGCTCAATAGAATTCTGAGTGAGGGGAGAAGAATCTTGCCAAGAATGTCGATCACAGACAAATTAGCTCTGACAGCCGGTCAAACAACTCGCGTCGATGACATTCGCGCCTCGATGGCCATTCGGTCACGATTCGTCTACTGCGAACTTACGCTTGCTCATCGTCATTACGACAGCGAGAAGTCACGATTCACAGCAGAACTTCTCTAAGTTTATCAGCTGCCGGCACAGAGTTCTCCCAAGCACGTATTGGCTCGTTCGGGAGGTCCGCACTCACCGCGGCTCCGGCAGTTCACGCGAAACCCTCCCCCTCGAGCTTCCCTCGCACAAAGACGTCACCGTGACGTCATTGCTACGCACTCTCGACGGACTCCATGAATTCTTCCATGCTGTCCTCTCGGACTTACCCAGCCAATGACAGCAGGTATCAAACAAGGCTGAAGTCTCCGAGAGCAAGAACAATCCGTTCTGCGATTCTCGCTATGATGGCGCTTGGAAAAAGAGAAGTGATACGGGGCGACGGAAATCGGGCGCAGAATAAACGATGCTCTTCCGGAGAAAGCGCAGGAATTCCCCAACGAGGAAAATCGAAGCGAGACCCGATGACGACACAGCGACAATAATCGCGGAACCAACCGAGGAAACAGAAAAAAGATTTAACTTCGTGTAGACCGACTTCGTTGAGTGCCCGCTATCCCTCACTCCCGACGAGGTATAGACTTCTCCCGAGACGTTCCCGCTCCCTAGAAACTTCCACGAGGCTACCCACGCTTCTGCCCGCGTGTTTTCTCCCGTTCCACCTCTCTCCACCTAATAGCCTCCGATGACGTCAGCGAAGCTTGAATCGGAATGGAGCACCGGAATGACTCAGCTGATCTAACGCTTTTTCGACCAATCGTTTCAAGAACGGTCTCAATTCTTCCTACTATGCCTCACGGCGCGATTAGCGAGAATATAGGCGATGCCAAGCACAAGGCTCAAAAACAAAAGAAATCCCTCAGAAGCAAGGTTTCTAATCCGACGGCGAACCTGGTGAAGTTCATTGACAGCCACTTGTCTGTTGTGAGTCACCGCGAGTTCTCCTCGTACACCGAACGGCGGTCGCTGACTCATGACTGGGGCGCATGAATTCACTGATGTGATTCCGTATGCAGATCAGGAGCGTCGAGCTCCATCTGAGAAATTCTCTCTCATGCTCATTCCGTTGCCTCGAACTACCATCGTCGAGAAAGCATTGAAGCGGAGGTCGCCGTCTACGGGAAACGCAAGCTCTCCGTGATGAATACTCGAAGCCGTGAAGGCAATCAAATACATACATCTCACTCATGGGACAGGAACGGTGCTGCCGAGGATAGACTCGTAGAGAAAGGAGTCCGCTGAGACTTTATTGGTATATGCCCCTTATGACGTCGGTCGTTCCCCGACATGATGACGCGAACGCACCGATATCCTTGACTGGCCGGCTGTCGATGGCGACGAACGGGGAACTAGAAACCGTCCCAATTGGGAACTCCGCAAATTGTTGGGGGACTCGAAGAACAGAATCAGGTGGATTCACTCCAAGACGAGGAAACGATGGCGATTCTTATGTCACAATAGACAGCTCCCTTGACCGGTCCATCCATCGGAGGCGACAGGAATAGATTTCCAAAAGCGTCGTATCTCAGCCAACCGAACGGAGGATGTTTAGATTTAATCTGGGAAGTACAGCCACATCGCCGACCCTGAGCAGCCCTGCACCCGGATGGTCGATCCGTCAGCTCTTCTGCTACCGAAAGATCTACACTCTCGTTCTTGTTCTACGTTAAGACTGCGGGCTGACCGCGCGAAAACCGACGCCGGATAATACCCGGAGGGGACCATGAACTCAAGACGTCCGCGCCGTCTATTCTATGTACTGCGGTGTTTATACCGCTACTCTAGTTTTGCGACGTTCTAGACAACGAAGACGACGGCTGCTGGGACATGTCACGTGATCTTGACGGCTTCCCTCCGATAGTGAGCCTCTCTTTTAGCATCTCCCCGTCCGACCGACAGGAAAAAACAGCTGCGAGATAATTGTCCCGGAGTCGGACCGATTTCCGGGACTCGATCAGAAGATCAGCAAAGGAGAGAGGGAGTCCGTGGCGAAAATTTCAGCCTCATCAAGGCTCGAGGAGCTTATTCCGCGCGACGAGACTCCTCGATTGAAGTCTTCCCATATCCCAGTTTCCCATTCTGGCAGAGCGACACACGAAGACATGTACAGAGCGGAGATTAGTCACCTGAGACCGACGCGTGGTCACTCATTCAGCGGCTACGCTCGCAACTGCGGAGTTTTTCGTGGAGAGCGCGACCCAAATCAGTTTATCGGTTTCGCTCGTTACCGAGCCCACTGCGACTATACTCGACGCACATCGAGAAAGACTTAACGAAATCGTGAAGCTCGTTCAGAAACCGATTCAAAGAAATATCCCGAAACACGGGAAATGTCGCCGGCATTGTCATAGGACGGTGCTTGTGCTTCTTGTCGTCGTCGTCGCAAGTCATGAGGGCAAGTTGCACGAAGCCCCGCTCTATAGTTCGACTGTTAGAGACCACTTGAGGCGCTACAAAGGCCTTGCGGTCCCGTGTCTCACCCTCAGCTACGTCAGAGAGGCCAATGCTGTCGGCCAGACCTTTCGCCGTTGGCATCTGACCGAAGCCTTTCGTTTCGTAATGAGCCAAGAGTGTCTCAACAGTCATCGAGCCGATCGGCGGATTCCGTCCGGCCGACATCGGGATGACGAGGATTCGAAATACCTAGACCGACAGAGAAAGACGGGCGGACCGATTCTTCTAAGATTCTAAGGAATCTCGTGGCACAATCGCTCCTCGCTCACAAGCGGGTCTCGAGAGCATCGCGGAAACTTTGTGCATGGGAGCGAGCTCAATGAAAGGAATGCGCTACTTCCGAAATCGAAAGATTACTCCGGCGCCAAACGAGCGGCGCCCGCTGAACGGCCGAGGCAACGTCAAGGCCAGCCGTTAGCCATATGGATGGAGCTGAAAGAATCCATCGCTGTCGTGGAATGTCTCACACAGAACTTATCAATGAAGTCGTCTTAGACCAATGTTCGGATCTCATGACGCGATCGATAATTGCTCCGCATAGCGTATCGCAGCGATTCTTCCGCGATTAACACTAACGAGAAAACTTGCATGGAACGTCAAATAATTCCGGCGCTCAAGCATCGAGACCGGAGACCCTAATCGAGAATCGTTCGAACGTCAGCTTCTGGCGAAAGAGTTGAACGGCCGTTCTGAGGGTCCGGAGGGATACGAAGAGCGGGCTCTCTGGCTCCCACGTGTTGGGAAAGCTTCTATCGAGCTTCAGGAGCGGAATCGAACGTCTTGAGCAGCAGATTCCGGGGGGCGATTCGGAAGGTCGACGAATCGCTTGCGAGACTCCGCTACTCGTGGATTCCGAGCCCTGCCCTGCGATTTCGGTGGTCGAACCAGGATTCGAACATCGCTAGGGCGAGAGAACCACTCAGCTGGACCGGAGGATTCGGAACACCAAAACGCCCATGGAATGGAATCGAACCTACCTTTTCCCTTCTTATTCTTCTTATCCAGTCTCGCCTTATGCTTCTTGAAAGCACGGCGGGGCAAGACGATCTCCATCTTAAAGTTGGGCACGAACGCTTGGTAAGATGAAAACTTTTAGCGGATTGCTAACGTGAAGCAATCCTCGATGCAGTCCCAGCTGGTGGTCCGCTGAAGAGTTTATCAAGAACAAGTCCTGTAGCCGATTACGGTAGAATGGCTACTCCCACTGATTGTACAGCACACTAACTTCAACTGGACTGCAACTGAGGACACTACTACAACGATCGACTGTGAGCAGGCAGAATACCACATGGCTGGAGAGCGAACTGATTTTAATATGGCCGACCGAACGAAGCAGCAAGGGCCAGAGGGGCGTACCACGAGAGAGTATCACGTGGCACCAATGGAGAGAGTGAAACGGTCACGTGACTTGCTAAATGGCGGTTTTTGCGACGCGCCCAGTTCGAAAGGGCATGCCACACGTGCCCCACTATATGTTCGGAGGACAGACAGAGACGAAACCTGTATTTTTCCAGGGCTCGGGACACGTTACGGCACGGCTTCCGTGTACGCCGCCTCACTCTCTCTCGCTCCGCCCATTGATGACGGAGGCTTCTTCGCTGCGAGGATTCCCCGGAACCTTTCGAGAACGACGAGAAACCCCCGATCGCCTCGCTCTAATTGAACCAATTATCAGTACTCGGGGTCCCAAAAAATGGTCTCTCCTAATCTCTTCGCGATCGGTATTCTCGGGGGGTTTCTCCGAAGGGGTCCGCGGCCCGCTCGATTTGAACCCTTCACGCTTTACGGATGAGACATTCCTCAGTTTGCCGATCATTCTCTCATCGAGACGAGAATCTTACGGACTCATGCTAATTGAGCCGACTCGAGAAAACGACAGTGGTCTCTTAGTTGATGACTTCATCGCGAGCCTCAATTTCCGAGCGCAAAGCCTCCGCGCATCATCCCCCCGGTGCCAGGCAGCATCGGCTCTGCTCTTGATTAACTCCATGCCCGTGAGAATGATTCAAGCGCCTTAACCGTGAAGCGGTGCACTCAATGGGTTTCTATTCGCGAGAGAAGCGAGCTCCGGAATTTCATGCTGCCATAATCCACTTTGGATGGCCCGTACCGATCTGTTGCTCAGGGCTCAGGCTCTGGCGCCTCCAGAGGAGGCATAGCGAGTCGGTGAGGCGCCCGTGCGAGTTCGTATGGGAAATGACGTTGCGTTTGCTGCCTACTGAGGCAACGATTTCGGCGCCCGGCGCGATCCGTCCGGCAGTTCAAGCATCGCGTCGAACCCGAGTCCCCCGCGCCAATGAGGAGTTAGAAGATACGGGCTCCGAGATTCATTGCTGTGACCTGGGTTCTCAAAGGGAAGACGGAGAAATGGGAACCTGCAGAGTTTCTGTTAACCCTTTGAGCTGACAGTGTTTCCATTGGCTTTCCGGGATCCTCCTCGAACAGGCCTGAACACATTTTTCGAGCAAGGAGCATAGAAAAGCATCAGAGACCACCGTGGCTCGATCGAGGATCTCTTTTCATTTCGTTCATCTCCAGTTGGATCAATATGTAGTTCGTGGTGGAAACTATGCGAGAATTGAGAGCGTCCATGTCCATAACATCTTCCAGGGTGCTCCTGGTTGAGCTCGAGTCCCGCAGGCCTCCGGGGTAAACAATATTGGGATAGTATTTTTCCCTGCCTCAATACGGGCTCCCTGGGTTTTCTAAATGGAGTATCTCATATCAGGAAAAGTCCCATATTGGGACACTCACCCCCACAGCTCCCCCAGTTAGATTCACGGGCGGATTTACGGATCTGCCGACCCCAGGCTTAATTAGGACTGCCGCCTGGATACCACCCATCCGAGAGTAGATCCCGATTCGTCGCTCGCACCGAGTGTTAAGATTCCTTGCCTATTCTACAAAGAGCCAGTGGGATCCGTAGACTTGGAAATCGTCACCTCTCTTCCTGTCGTTCCCAGATGGGGAGAAAGAAGAATCCCTTCTCTCGACCGGGTGTCAGAGAAATCGAATATCGCTGCTCGTTTAGGGATGGCTCCCCGCAATAATTCTGACGGCTCCAAGCTCATGGACACAGTTGACGTCCTCGTCTTGGTCTCGAATGATTTCTCTGAATAGTCAAGAATCACGGAAGCTCCAACTAGGAGCTCGCCGCCCCCCGAAATCTGCGGCCCAGTCCGAGCCTGCTATGCCTATTGGGTAAATCCGCCACTGGTCAGACTCCTCAGCCCCGGCTCAGTTGACTGATTCAGCGACCTCGCTCGGCAGGAAGAGCTCCATACGAGGATTGAATTGATCGGTACCGCCACGCCAGCTGACTGAGATATTCACGTGCCGAGGAAAATGCACACAAGTCTAGGATTAGACCACGGAGAGACAAAGAGACCTACCAGCCGAGAAAGTCCCTTCTGCAACTGAATATCCGAGAGCGAAACAGAGAGTTCTGGAGGAGCCCACGCTCATTGTCTCTCGAAAGGGCTATCCAAATCCCCCGACGGAAAACATGCGATTTACGGATAAAAATACGATGCTCTGGAACAGTGATTCCTGAACTCTACAGGCCCGTGGACTCATTACTTCATTACGAGCCTTGGGTATCACATACATGGATCTCCATGACCTTCCCTCTGGGATCATCTCGAGGTCCAAGAATCGTCGTGGCGCAGAGGGCTCATGGAGGACCTCATGGCTCCTTTTCGAAAACACTGACCGTAGCTGTAGCATGCCCAGCTTAGCTCTGGACTGGAGTGGAACTTCTTCCTCCTGACTACAGATTTCATACTCAGTCTCAAACTTACGGGCTCCATCCCTCAGAAAAGGCTGCCCGCCGTGAAACTTGTTTCCGACGAACTTTGATCAACTTTCATGTTTGGATTTTGTCGAAGACGGACCGAGTTTCCGTGAAGACAGCTATGATCCACCCTCTGAGAATCGGAGTAAGCCCTCTACAGGGAGCCGGGCGAGGTAAGAAAACACCAAGGATCTGCTGAAAAAAGCCAGGAGCTTGAAGCGGCTCACTTGAGGAAACCGGAGAATCGGGATTCTCAAGAGTGCGCCGAACGAGGCGACTGAAGCATCCTTGCCCCGGCGCCACCGCGAGCGTGAAGGAGAGTGTCACCTAGTTCTCGTAGCCGTGACTTGGAGACTTCTCTATGGAGAAGGCGGGCGGGCGAAACCCTTTTACCGGCTCATATTCACAGCCGATTTCTGTGAGATGGAGGAGGGCCGTGATGTCAACGATCGAGTAGCATCGTGAACTATGATAAGGATCAAAGAACACTGCAATCGTTCGATTGGGGTCTGCTCTCAAACCACAGAGAGCTGTTCCGAAGTGCTCCGCCTGTAATGGAACGATCGGGTGTTTCATTCAGGATTTCGGACTCAACATGCCGCCCACGGTTTCTTGATTTCGATGCACTTCCGCGATGGCTTCCTCTTCGGGAGGCTTGGAGACGAGCGCGGTCGGTCCCAGAGCCATTCAGGATGAAATTCGCTCGTTTCAGAAGTATCCTTGCTCCCAGGCGCGTCCGCAGAGGGGGGGCTAGGGGGCTATAGCCCCCTCCCAGATTGAGAGTTCGTAATGCTAAGATATAGGAGCGGGTCGCCATGTTGGAAATCAGCCCCATGCGAGGACCCGATCTAGCCCCCCCCAAGAAGAATCCTGTGGACGCCACTGCTTGCTCCGGGGAGAATTCTGAATTGAGATGAAGAAGGTCGCTACGGTCATATATTTTCCGCTCCACCTTCGTGAAATCGACATGGGGAGCAGTCTCTTGAGGCTCTCCAACGGACAACGCCAAGTAGTAATATTAGGGAAAAGTCAGTGCTCAGAAAAAGTATCCGAAGTGCCCAGCAGGCACGCATCGTGATGAGGCTCGCGATGCTTGAACTCCGTTGCATAGCATTGCCTTACAGCGATAAGGGTAGCGCACGAGAACGTAGGCGAGTTCGGGGAATGGACTTTTCATCTTGTAACGATCCTGGATGCCTGGAAAACTCGTGTCGTCAGGCGGCTACTCTACCTTAATCTTTTCGCTCCTCGTATGAGGAAAGCCTTCTCGTGTGCAACTTCCTCAAAAGTTCCGACCAAAAGTCTCGGATACTGATGCAACGGCTTCACCGGGAGCATTCGACGGTCCGACCCGGCGGACGAATTCTCACCCGGAGCGAGTCTAATGGGCTCTCGAAGCACTTTAGTCAATTACTCTAGATCAGCCGGTCGCCGAGGTGGGGTGACGGGATTGCACTCGATGCAACGGCTCCCCGGTAATCAAGAAGGAGCGCTCAATCGATCGAACGATGAGGCTCACGGGTGCTTTCATGATGCTTGATTGGGAGAAGCAAACGGAAGAAGCTCCCCTCAAGAAGCACCGTCCAGATTGGGGTGCTTCAGAGCAGGCAGAATTGCATCGCTGAGATCTTTCGACATACGCGCAGAGGCTTGTGTCTTGTCTCATCCCTCCGTTCTCGGTGCGATGGCCCTTAGCTCCAGAAGACAGGGGGAAGAATGACTCGCATATGTTGGGAGCGCCAAGAGGATCCTCATTGGGAAGATTTGGCACCAGGAGACTCGAAGTGGTGAATGATGCCGATTCCTAAGAGTTGTTCGCTGCCGGAATCGGTATCGACCGTGACCCGCGGCGATTCCAGGATCTATCGCTCTCCTGGAAGGTATGTTCAAACCTCTCGTCCTGATAGATCCACTCTCAGGCTCTCTAGACCAGCGGTCCTCAAATTTCTACCTCCTACCTCTCCCTCCGGCCTCATGGGGAGCGCTTGGGTCTGCGCAGAATATCATCGAGTATCTGAGAACCTGGAGTTTAGACCAAAACTTGGAGCAGTGCCGTTTTCGCCATGAAATACGGCTTCCTCGTTTGATTAAAATGACAAAAAACTCACGGAGCGGTCGCGATGTGAATGCTCCGCGTCACCCTCAGATTCTTCCGGCGTCTCCTCTGGGAGACGCGTCTTCCTGGTTTGAGGAACGCTGCTCCAGACTCTAGACCATCCGAGCTCTCCTGTTCCCATGAGTCTCTAGAGGTCTAGAGAATCCTAGCTCACGCTCATGAACTTCAAGAACTCCGGGTATAATGGGAGTCAGCCGTCTTCAGAAGAAGCATCCCGTATAGTTCTTGAATTTATTGATGAAGGCATGCTCCAGTTTAAGGAAATCTCCGGGCTACGGAGAAGCTCCGAATTCTAAGGGAGAAAAGGGTATTCTCATTCGTTCACTCCATGACTCTGTCCTCAATCGTCTCGGAACATGTTCTTGTTTGCATGGACTTAAAGAATATCTTCGCTTTCCGGCCGCCCGACTTCCGACCGGTTGATCGAACGAAAGCAGGGCGAGGATGTCGATTAGGATTGAAACAGTATCCGATGTGAGCAGGTAGCTATTTCCCCCCCCTTGATCGACTCGAGATATGAGTTTCGCTCATTGCTCCGGAAGCCCTCCGAATGCTGCGAAGCTTCTCCATACGATCGCGCGAAGGTTGTGACTCGTGACTATATGTTGAGCCGGTCGGAAGATTGTCATGGTTTGTGCGAGCCCGGATCGGACTTTGAATGATCATCCCCGGCGTCGCTCAATAACTTCCAATTCTATGATCGCATGCTCCTACTCTTTTCGATCGTGGCGCGCGCGTAGCTTCTCTGACGGAGGTCACGGATTTCTCACTGTGACAATAGCCATCTGGCCTACGTTGAACACTAGGAAATTCGGGTCCAGTCTGAGTGAGTGCTTGGGATACGCAGGCAGCTCTTGGTGACGTCAGTTGGGGCGTGGGCGTCCGCGCGGGTTCGTGGGCGAGGAACAACCACAAGGAGTGCGGGCCTCTTGGAGCACCCTCATTGACTTCAGAGAGCAGAAAACGCTTGTGTGCTCAATGGTCAAATTCAGAGCCCGGGCTCACCGTCGCAAATCATCTTGCCTGGTTTCCTCCCCGAGGGTATCTGCTGGAAGGGTAATTGGTTGCCCTGTCGGTCCGAATGAACATTATTGAGCAGGGATCACCCGGGTTTTCACTTTGGAGAGGCGAATCGACGGCGGTATTCGTGAACCCATGGAGCTTGAAGAAAAATCAATCTCTCCCCGAATAATGTCGCGCCATCCGATTCGGGAAAGCTCATGATGGGGTCAGCGTTCCTGGACGCTACCGTCCCGAACAGAGCGTGACTCCGGTGAGACTTGAAATTTCTCAATCTATCGCCGCTCCTCGGGATCGTACCCAAGGTCCTAGACCCAGTACTGAACTTGAATGAGCTCGTCGATCGGACTCATTCTTGGAATATCATGACTAGTGGCTTGCTCCCGTCAATGGTAGCGTGGACTGCGTCGACTTCTATGTGGATGGCTAATGGAAGTTTCACGTTACGATGATGTCTCCACATTCCGTGCTCGCCTCTGATAGAGCGCGACCGGTCAATGCTCAGCAACAAGGACTGATGAAAGCTTCCCGGAGCTTTACGCGGAGAGTTGATCCTCGACGCGAAACGTTCCACCTCGCATTCGTCATGAGAACGGATCGATTGAGAAAGTGCGATTGCTTCGAACATAATGAATGTCTCGCACCGTGATCACCACCAGCGATTATGCCCAAACAGATTATTCGGCCGGGTAATGATCTCCATGTATCGGATGACTGTCATCCGAAACCTTTTTGTGCAAGCCTCGGTTTGATCGCCATGTAGACATATGAAATGCTCGAACAGCGCTATTCATTCTCCAAGCGTTGCTCATCGAAAATGATTCGCGCGGATAAATAGCGGAGAACTTCACTCAGCACACAGCGTTTCCAAGGCCAGAGAGTTTTCCGCACCGTCGCGAGGAAGGAGTTCGAATGGCAGGTCCCGCGTGTAGATCGTACGAGCAAATGATTGAATCTAGTACGCGCATCGGGGAATATTCCTCAACCCGATCCCGGTCGAGCTTGTATGATCTTGACCCCACTCGGAAGGTGATACGGTCGCGAGGTACGCATGTCGATCACGAAAATCCAGCAAGATTCCGAAAATTCTAATATTGGTATCGCACTCGCGCCGGAGACCAGATTTTCTTGGCGTAGCTGGCATCGTATAAGAGATGCGGTGGTCCAAGAGATCCCAGTCAGCTGTGCTTCAAGAGGTAAAAGTCTCCCGGAGAGAAAGCAAAAACTGCAGCTGCAGTTTTGAGAGAAGGGGCAAGCTCCCGCTTTTTCGCTGCCGTATGGAATGATCCGGAGCCGTCGACGCGCACGCGAGAGTGGCGTGCTCGAGGTCCACATGTCGCCGATTGGGTCTCGCGTTCGGGAAATGAAAGCCATAGACTTATACTCGGTCAGAAGATCAAGCCAGAGAAGGCGGACATCGTACAAGTCTTGTGACGGACGGTCGATGAGCGGGGAAGATATTCCCCGGCTTGCGAGCGTATCGAGGAGGCCTGACGTTCCCTCTGCCTCCGCAAGCTTGCCTTGAGACCTCACCCGCGAGGGGACAGACAAAGACCCGGCAATGCTGGTGAACCAGAGCGGGGAAAACCTTTTGTGGAGCGTGCGGCAGAGCAGTGTAGAGGCCGACGCTGCCTCTGATGAAGGTTGGTACGCAGTTTTCACCAGCTGATGCGGGCGACCAGAGGCTTGCACCATCCAGATGACAGCTGGACCACTCGGCTATCCGTCGGTGTATTTTCAGGGGGAAAAGAGCCGAAAAGAATGACGCGCCACCTCGCGACCCATTCTTTTGTATGGGGACCGAAGATTCTTGGGGGGGATCCGCCACTGACCCGACATATGTAATTTCGACGATTTCTCATGGTCCGAGAACCGGTTTTTGTCGCAATGCGTGCGGGGTAAGAATGTCCAGCTACAGTCCGCTTCCTTCATCTATCATACTCGAGTGTACACGACTCATTCGATGGGGCCCAGTCCCTTTTTCCGATTCGTGCTGTCGACGTTTCAAACTGCGCGCGGATTCCTCCCCTCCACCGTCTGCTTCCTTCGGACAACTCCACAGCGGAAAGCGTCACCGCGTGTGAGAGAAGCGCGCGGGAATCTATCGGTCCCGTTCTTGAGCATCCCAACTCGCCGCGACCAGCTGACCGCGACCCAACTCGCCGCAGGTTCCAGCTCGCCACAGGGTCCAACTTGCCGCCGGAGGCGAACGTCTTAGAGCGACTCCCGCTGTCCTGGAGTGAAGGCCCTGCGCGGTCGAGTCTTTTAATGGTTCTGGATCACTCATCAGAACTACGTGAGTAACATGAAAAAGCTTCCTCAGAGGTGATATTCTCTCCGGAAACCCCAGTCTTTTCGGGCAAATGACGGACTTGTTCCTTAGGCCACGGCTCATCGCTAGACTTCGGTCGCGGCACGTCAGCGGTTCCACGGCGGAGTCACGGCTTTCTTAAGGAATATTTGCGGACACAGATGAGCTACTGCTAGGATGGTCGTCATTTTCTCTGGGAGCCTATGGGAGACGAATGGCGTAATTCACGGCCTCACGCTCTCGAGCGGCGAAATCACGGCTCTTGTCGCGATCCTGAATGCCGCGACCAAGGTCTCGCTCCTATCGCTGACAATGGGGATGATCTCGAGTCAACCCCCATAGCAAAGGAAAAACGTCAGGCGACTAAAAATTCAGAAAACCTGGAGTTAATTTCTTCAGAAGAGTCTCCCCTCGAGCTGAAGAGTATGCTTTCTGCTGTAAACGGGTTTGGAACTCGGGGTTCCCTGCTCTTCCTCGTGCCTCACTGTCATGCTCCAGCCAACGGACTCATTCCGAACGCTGCCAGAATTGGTCCAAATAAGAGGTCATGATCGTTCTACATCTTTAATTAGTGCGAGATCATGCATGTTCCATTGTTGAACAGCTCTTCTCTCGAAGTGTGCTGGATATGGCTCATCAAGCGGGCGTGGGCAGATTATCGATTTTCTGAACGAGTCTCTCGAACGTCATTACCAGATCGGAGGCTCGAACTGAAATCTGAGGAGATTCATCCGGCCTCGAGTTGTCTCGGCATCGAATTGTTCAGCCTCGGGCTGTCTCGGCGTCGAGTTGTCGGTGTCCGAGATATTCGAATCTCCGCTCGAAACAAATACGCATTCAAATTTCCGTCTGTGGGCTTCACCAACAAAATCAGTCATTGAATATGGATGGAGTATCCGGAACTAATTGCCTCGAGTCAAGTGATAATTTCGGAATAGAATGACTATCTTCTGTTCCTTATTCGAAATGCCCCGTTGGTTTCATCGTTTTTTTCCTTTCATCTCTCACCTATCACTCTGGGATTCTACAGAGTATTTCTCGGTCCGATTCACGCTGAAAGACTCTCGATTGATATCATCCAACCTCCCGACCTGATCTTAAATCTTGGAAATCGAACGCTAAATCATGCTTTGCTTGTTTGCAGCCTTCCGGGAAGGAAAAAAGCGAAAGACAGAACAAAATCGCGACGAGCTCCACGACCTCATTCTCCTCCTCAAAGCAACCGAAGAGAAAACGCACAGCATGGATGCCCGGCAAAGATCTATGCACGATCAGCTCGAGCTGCTCAAGGAAGGCGCACAGGAGGACGTGTGTATCAATATCGCAAGCCATTCTTCTGTTCATCGAAGCTTGCTGACTAACCTGGCGGACAATGTGACTGAGGCGCTACGCGCCAGTCTAGCATACGAAAACGAAATGACCGAATCAGCATCTCGAACCCTGGCGTTTGCAAAGACGGAGATTACCGCTATCGAGCTCGTGGCCACGCGGCTCATCACCTCGATGTGTGCGCTAGATATTACCCGCCATCATGCCCAAGACATCATGGGTAGGGATGTAAATTTTTCGCGGACCACCATTTTTCCGCGAATATTATTCGCGGAAATTTCCGGCTACTCCCCATAGAGTTTCAATGGAGGCCGCGAATTTGGCGGAAATTTTCCGCGAAAAATTTACATCCCTAATCATGGGCGATGCCGCAGACGACAGTGGACCCGAAGTGAGGTCGTTTCTCCGTGAAGCCACGGAGCTTCACACTGGGATGCTCCGCATCCGAAATGAGATCTTCGAAGCAGCCGACCAAGCCCGTCGGCTACGCACCGATGCATCCCGTCTCGAGAGGCTTGATCAAGCGCAGAGGCAGACCTCTCTCGCCCACTGCCTCGAGCTTGCGATGACAAAGGTTGATCGAATCGACAACCTACTAATTAGAATGCGAGCGAAAGAAAAGAGGTTGCGGGCCGAGGACTTCGTGGGCCGAATGAAAGACATTCTCGGCTTTTTGGACCATCTCTCAGCCTTACTGCCTCGTGCTCGAAGTCAGGGCGCAGAGGGGTCGATCGGGGGCCGGAGACGGCCATTTGCGTGAACTGTATGCGGATGTGCCAGGGCGAATGCCGAGCGTGAATGCTCCTGGCTGCGCAATGACGCTATCCAGGCCTCGCTGTAATGCATTTCTCATATTTGTGCCAAGTGCATCGATAGCGGTTTTCGCAGTAGGGATCCTCGGCTACACAGTGCTCATTCCCCGATTCGTTGGCTACAATGTCAATCAAGTAAGGCTATAGCGATTTCTACGCAACGAATACGACTCGTTCTTTCCTGACTGTCTCGAGTCGGGATTGAGACTCCGATGATAAATAAATATAATATAATGATAATAATAATTTAGGGATTGCGGTTCTGTTCCGAAGCTAACTAGATTCTCTTCCGCAGAAAATGCGTCTAATCCGCGAGAACGAGGCTCTCGAAAGATGGGCGAGCTACTCTGACCCCATAAATCTATCGATACATCTCTTCAATATGACGAACAGCGATGAGTTCAGGAGCTTAGGACCTACCAGAGTTGAGGAAGCCTATGTCTACCTTGAGAAAAGAACAAAACGGGTTGATTACATGGATGAGAATGTGGTGAGTATCCTCTACGAAAACTTATTTGGATTCCGGCATATCCGAATAGGAGCTCCCATCAGAGCTGAACGACCTCCTCATCAGTTCATCAGTCGTCGAATCGACTCGCGCGCTCAAAGGACATGCCTTTTCCAGATTTCCTACTCTGAGTACAACTATTATCGATTCCTGCGAGAATTTTCGTCTGGCGATCCGAAGGAAGACATTGTACACGCGCTCAATGTTCCACTGGTTTCCGTTGCTGACTTCATCGAGAAAACCTTCCACAATTTTCCGTGGTTGGAGCCAGTTTTCCAGAGTGTCCTCCATGCGCTCCCCTACAAGCATGACGAGGATATCGGTGAGTTCCATCCGCTCGCTCGGGACTATCACCCCTTCGGAGCAGAATAGATATTATGAAAAAGAGTCAACGTTATCGACACGATCTTTCCCCGCAGTCGTACGTCGTTGATGAGATGCTGTTCGCCGGATACGATACTCCGTTTGTGGTCGAAGCTGAGAGGCTCGCGAAGAAAGCCCTGTCGTTGCTAGAATCCGACTCGCATGATCGTTTCGGACTCCTGCTCAACAAGAAAAGATCGATCTCAGACCAGTTCACTGTAGGCACGGGCGCCGGAGATCTGCCCTTCACGAAAATGATCGAATGGAATGGCAAGACAGAACTGCCCTACTGGGGGAGCGAGCAATGCAATCAGATCAATGGCACCGACGGCTCCCAGTTTCCACCGATCAAGGACAAATTTGCTGCTGACCGACTGCGAATTTTCTCGGCTGGATGATGCCGCTCCATTCATTCGGAGCATGAATCCGACTCAGAAGTCAAAAGCATAGGAACGCAACGGTGAGGAGGGAACTCTATTCTACGGCTACTCTCCTTTCGCCAATCCATTCGCATCCCATGCATTGATTATTATTCTCCCGCAGGTACACGGTGCCGGCATCCCTGCATCTCGAACGCTGAAGAGGTGGAATCTAACACTTGCTACTGCGAGTCACCGGACAAATGCGACCTAAGCGGGACAACGAATATCAGCGAATACCACAAGGGCCTCCCACTAATGATGTTGGCTGCCCCCTTCTACATGGGTGAACCGAAATTATCCCAAGATAATATAGGCCTTAAACCCTCGAAAGAGAAACATGAGACTTTCCTGGGTATCACGTCGGTTTGCGATTTTGACGCAGAATTTTCATAATGGCGATTTACTTGGCATACTCGTTGAACTAGTGCATTAGTCATGCTCAAAATCGGGCCTTCACGTTGCAGATGACCGGACTCGTGTTGCGGGCTGCGGAGCGTTTGCGAATCAACATCGAAGTCAAGCCTAGTCTCTACAAGCGGTGAGTTTCTTCAGAGTCTCTGCAAGAATTCCCGAGAGCATTCCGCGCCTGAAGGATCCGCTCAGAATTTTTATCCTCGTTTCAGGACTTTGGAAAATGTGACCACAAGCATAATTCCAGTTGCGTGGATCGAGGAGGTGTGCGAGGTTTCCTTTTATATATTGAGACACAAAAGGAGCTTGATAGCTCACACCGTACGGAATCGGGGCGGAATTCCATGGAAGTCAATTATTTCAGCGCATGGAGGTGACGGTCTCATTCATGGGCTTAATCAAGAAGGAATTGGTTCGTCCGCGGAATTTAGATACCGTTGAATGCTCTCTCGCAGTGCTGATCGGAGGTCTCTCAACAGTGATCGTGATCGCTGTATCCTGCATAAGAGACGCTAAATACTCCAGATCTTTTGCTCTCCAAGCAATCAGCACCAATGACCTTCGGGGAGGTCCCGGGAATGAAGAGGCTAAGCCGGGAGATCTTGAAAAACCTACCCTCTCCCCCAAAACGGCTCCGAAATAGTGACTGTGACTACGAGAAACGGAAATTGAAGGAAAAACTGATGCTTCCGGAGTGTCCCTCTGCGTCTTCTCAGCGTGGTCAAGGCCAAGGCAGCTTGACGAGAGAATACATGAGGGATTCCTCTCTAGGAGCTTTCTTTCACTCTAAGAGAATTGGAATGGCGCACCCATTAAGAAACGAGTCGCTTCAAGTCTTCAAATTAGAATAATATATTCGTGCTGAACTCCCACCGAACAATTACCCAATAAAAACTCATATAGAGAGCTCTGCGCTCATAATCGTGCGTGTGATTTCTCTCGGGTCGCTCAGAAATGACCAAACCTATATTTGCCTGTCCTCATGGAGCGCAGACTGCACCGATGTAATATATATATGTAAGTATGCTTAAGAGCTAGAAAGACTAAAATGGTGCTCCTGACTCTAGATAGGGTCGGACGAAATTCCAGAGCCGGGAGCAAGAGCATTCTGCATTTGCACGTGATTTGCAATGTTCGAAGACATGAGGAAATGGAGCACCTAGATGAGGTAGACGATATCATCCGATACCATGACCTGGTTTGCGTCTGACATCTTCTCTAGCGCCAGATCGACTTCATCTCTCGTGAATGGCTTCTTGAGAGACAAACCTGGAAGATTCGCATCTTGAGAACGATTTTTATCTCCTTCGCAGTGCTGCTTACAGCAACCATTCGTTTGGAATCGCCCGGAAGGCACGGAACAATTCCATTCCTGGATCCGCCCGGGCTCCCCCCGTTACGACTCGAGCAGACTCCTTACATACTGACACACTCCGATATGTTGCCCTAGCGAACCGATGGGTCAGGTATGAGAGGGACTTACCTGCGAGATAACTCATCAGTTCATCAACGGTCATCTGCTGGGATCCAGCAGTCCGCCTGAATGCTTTTTTGAGGAGAGATCGAAATTCGTCCAGTCTGTCGAGCACACCGATCGATGCAGCTCGTGACGATGTCGATGGCAGGGGAGTTTCTTCTTCTTCGGGAACCTCTTCTCGAGCTTTCTTTTTCGGCTTGAGCACTGGGGTTTCAGGAGTCTCTTTGCGGTAATCGAAGAAATCCTTCTCTCTCTCCTCTTCAGAACTTGCGGCACCATCATCTGAGTCACGCTTCCGTTTCCGGGGCTAATCCGGGGAATTTCGAGTCAGTGTTCTTGTGTGGTCCATGCAGAAGAGCATCGTGTTTCCCATAGATCTAGAACGGGAGACTTGATTTTTTAATTTCATCGTCGTGGAGTTCAATTCCTCGACAGATCAAGGTATCGATCGAGACTGTTGCCCGTCAGGACCACGTACGAGGAGTTGCTCCTTACCACGATATTCTGACTTCCGGCCGCCGCTCTGAGATCTTCGGTGGACAGGTGATCTGCCATGTTATTCAGGGGCATCGCCTCCCCATCCTGTTAATTTGGGTTCCGATAACCTTGCTTCTATAGTAACAGTGCTCCTCAGAAGGAAGGCGGTTCGGTTTTCCCAGATGAAAAAAAAAGCCGAGGCTTGGTCGGGCAGGGAGAGGGTTTCCCGGAGGACAGAAGAGCGAGCCGCCACCTGTCGGAGGGAGCGCCTTTGGAACTTTGCCCAAGAGATACATCCTCCACTCATGAGAAACGCATAGCCCGTTGTAGACTTTCGGCAGCCTTGACAATCTGTGGACCATCACGGATCTTGATTTTATTGTTTCGAGCGAGTGGGTGGTCGAATCGATACGATAACCCAGAAAAATTATGTTCGACTTGAGCCTCGGGAGAAAAGATGGATTGCGGAATCCTCCAGATACCCGCGGGAACCTTATCACATCTCGTGAGTGGTGATCTAGGTACCTTGGCCTCCGATTCGATGATGGAAAGAGCGGTGATTGCAGCCTCTCTCTTGGCTCGGATCTATCTCCGACCTAAGGCGAAGGAGTGCAGGCAGCAACGAATCAGGGCAGGGACAACAAATGAACTTCTCCTTCGAGGCCTACGCTACATGGAGCTTCGAACATTATTGAGCGGCTTATCCATCCTTCCGCCGCAAACTAGGAACGACGCACCCGCTCGCATCAGTCGCTCCGATGGAGTGACCGTTCCAAGAGGATCGATCGTCGCTCGAATGTTCACAGTCTCCACTAAGCAACATTTCCCTCGGAGAATGTGGAGAATTTAGAGCCCTTCAATTCCCGGGAGATTCCAGGTTTTTCTAAGCCTTCCCCATCGGCAATACTGAGCAAACGACTTCTCCTATTTTCCTCGGGGAAAAATCGGCCCGGCCTCGCTCTCCATGTCGATCCCTCCCGAAAGCTCCAAGCTTCGAGAGAGCACCCGAAAGCTCTACGTCGAGTTCTTCCCCGCAAGCTCCGCGGTCAGATTTCGATGAGGTATGGCAATTTCGAATCCTTTACAGTCCGTTACCGTTGCCTCTATCACCTTCCTAGAGATTCATTTCAAGAGGTTCCTTCAAGTTCGGATATTAAGCTCCGCTGACGAGAGTTCTTGAATACTCGTACTCTCGATCTATTCACGATAGGCTCTCTGCCACATCGGCCCAGCCGTTGACGATGCTGCCTGAGGCAGCAGCAGCAGCAGCTCGGTAGGCCGGCAAGTAAGCGAGCGAGCGAGCGAGCGAACGAACGAATCAGCCAACAAACGAACGAACGAACGGGCGGCGAGGCAGCAGCGGCGCGGCAGCAGCAGCAGCGGCTGCGACCAGCATGTTCCATGACGACAGCAGCTACACAACGGCTTGCAGCGCAGAGCAGCGACTGTGGTTTGCTCCAACCCAAGAAGGAGACGGGAGCTGAGAGCGAGCAATTCTTTTCAGATGGCTCCTCGGTATCCTGACTCAAAGCATTCCGAATCCATGATATTCCGTCATGTCTCAGGCGTGCGGATGAGCTCGCAATTATTTGAACGGAATGATTCTTCAAAGATCGCAGAATTCGGTCGAGATAGATGCTGCTCATCCACCGACTTCCTTCGCGGCAGAGGCTACCGATAAGCTACGAAACCGAACCCGTTCTCTTAGGCGCTATGCCAGATGCTCGTCCGGTGGCGTCGCATCCGATATCTCATCCCCTGAATACTCATAATTTGAGAGATCAGCGGATTTTCGAATTTGCCAGCACCCCATTTCGTTATGCGGATGAGAATCTGATTTTTCCCGACACTCCTAGTTACGAAACAGGAATTTTTTCGAGACTTCATCCCGTTCTCCCCAGAAGCTGCCGTTAGAGGAACCCTTCCCCCCTCGCAGAAATGGAGCTTTCGAGGACCCTGGATGACGTCAGCTTTTCCTGCAACCCGACGAATCCCCAATCGATGAAACACCAAAGGCCATCATCAAGCTCGCCTCCTATGTGGCTCTGTGGCTGCTATGAATGACTGCCGCTGCTGCTCTCGCGCTGTTGCTTTGGCAGTAAACGACGGAAGCTGGATCCTGATTTTCTGCAGTCCTCGACGTCTGCCCTCTCCGAACATTCAGCCTTCCTGAACGGTCGCCATACATCCTTGGTCCGTGCTTGAACCAGCGGCTCGCTAGCTCGATAGCTGGTCTGCCGAACTAGTACATCTTACGTTTGATGTCTTCTGTGATGGGAGATGAGAGGCTATTAAAAGTCGGACACTGTCGTCTGCTCTGGGCGGTGGCGCTATAGTCGGAGCTTTCTCCTCACACTTTTGCAAACGCTGACTCGTGATTGGATCGCTCGACATGACGTCACGCCCTGTATATAAGGCAGGGTGTAGTGGGCGAGTGAACACTTTGATGCAGACTCAGCGGGGACATGTTGTGCCAGTCTATTGTCAGACCTTCAATCGACAATACGACTATCGTAATTAGTTCTTCAAACGTTATCCAATCCTCCACCGCTGGACTCACTGCGAAAGCGTCATCAAACGACTTCACAGCACCGAGCAAGACAGCTGTGCAACAAGGATCGAGTCAACGGAATAATCATCGGCAGCAGACTTACCACTTCCACCAGTCACCTGGTCGCCCTCATCGTAGTCATCTGAGAGCCTCTGTGCTAGAGCTGCCGAGTACACCGTTATCATTTCGGTCATCGAGTACTGTTACGGAACATTGTTCGGGATCATCGCAAAGAAGAACTAGGGTGCCGTGTGTTTCAAGGAAATCCTCGAAGAAATTGTGCAAACTCGACAATTCGTTGAGCGTGACTCGAAACAAGTCGAAGTGTTTTTCGAATTGAAGCTGCTAGCGTTCTACAACATTTCCACGAACAGTCAGTGCACTCGAGTTGACCAAGCCGAGTTATACTAAAGTCGAAGTTCCCTCGTTACGTCGGTTACGTTGATGAGACATTCATAGTGGTGAATTTTGTTTCGGTCTGAAGAAGAGACACTCCTTCCGGACGACAACTTTCCCCCCCCCTAGTCTGGACGCCCACCAACGCCATCTGTAAACACTACAGAGCCGCAGCAGCAGCAACAAGGACGAAGGAAAGTATACAAAACCAAATCCTGTGATTGCATAGCTCCTCGCGATCCGTCGTCCATTACCATCACAATCATCGCAACTATCTCCATCGGGGAGATCATTCCCAACATCTCCCAGAGATCGCGAACGCCGGCGACGACGTCAGAGTAGATCACGAAACCCGAAGTGATCGTTGGCCCCGTTGTCAACTCACAACACATCGCTCGGTCAGGTGAACCTTAGGTATCATTGATATCCGAAAGGCAGAGAGTAAGGAACAGTGAGAACGAACACTGTCGGAGTCGCTCGCTACTTGTCAGACTGCGGCGATTCGTGACGGGCGTACTACGGTCGAATCGTTTCCGAGCGTCGAAATCGTTTTCTGTGTACACGATTCCCCCTCGCGAGTGGCTTGCCTTAGTAGAACAATGAGTCAACGTCAGTGCGCGTTGAATCCCGAATTCGGCGCGGCATCTGCGGGTTGCTCGTCGGCTCCGAATGGAGCGAGGATAACTGCGGCGACGAACGCGAGTAGTGGGAGCTGTGCAGAGAACTCCGCTGCTCTCGCATCGGCTGCCGAGGTGGCGGCGCTTGCGAGGACGGCTGCTGTCGCGACAAATCGGGGAGCAGTTGCCGGTGCCAACCCCCGACGACGAGCCCGCAGAGGCAAAAAGCGCAGGAGCCACGAACAGCAGCAGCAGCAACAGCAACAACAACTTCCATTGAAAATGCGGAAAGACCGAAGTCACAGAGGTCTCCTGAAAAAGCGTTGCGTGCAAATCCGGCCGTGGAACGTTCCCCAGGCCCCGGCGAACTTCACGCAGTTCATAATCGACGATCACTTCGAGTCCTGTCCCGGACTCTATCAGAGCTTCGAAACTCCTCCCGTTTCGTCTCACCGAAGAAACTCTTCATCCGAGTCTGACGCCCCCCATTCGAGCGTCAACTACGACAGTGACGATCTGGTGAACCATCAACCTTTCGATTATTCGCAAATGCTGGCTTTCCACGAAAAGGACTTCGAAGAGGTTTATTCAGACGCGCGAGCGGCCGAAGTCATTGAGCTGCCTCACGATCAATTGGTTAATATGTATTGTGAGATGGAGAAGCGAGAGACCCAGTTGAGTACCACTTTGAGTATTTACTCCCCACAACATCTGCTGGAACACCTGCAGAGACGGTTACTCGACCTCCAAGAAGAGAACCGAGTGCTGAAAGCGCGCAACAGGGCCCTACGTTACGCTCACAGCGAAGACAGTCAAGGTTCCGTGGACTCCGAAAGTGATTCGAGCTCGTCATCATCGTCGTCCAGCTCGTCCTCGTCGTCGTCCGACAGCGATTGCGGCGTCGCCGACGGCGTTGTCGGCGGAGGTGGTAGCGACGACGACGACGTCGGAGCCGAGACCTGGCGAGATCAACACGAGGAAGCGCAGGCCGTGCCCGACTGCGCAGCCGTGAACGACAACGCCATGTTCCAAGTGGTTGCCGAAGGATCGAATCACGATCGACTTCAGGCAGCACGACGTAACCTGAACGAAGGATCGTCTTCAACGTTAGACTTCAGAAGTTTCCAAGACGCCCTCTTCAATTCGAGGGACGGCCACGAGTTGCCGTCGTCGCATCGACATCACGATTCGAGCCTAGATCAGGAACAAGAAGTTCAGGTGTCGTCATCGTGCAAAACTCCCAGGGAGACCCCTCCTTACGGTGAGATCGAAGCCATGGGATAGATGCGGGAGGGCGAACTCGAGCATGAGTGAGAAAATTGTGAAAATGCCGCTCGACTCCGGTTGAGTCGATCGGTGGCTCTCCGACGGGTGATTCAGGGCGGACACATTTGACACTGTTTCTGTTAAATATGAGGATGACGATAGCAGACGGGTGATGGAGATCTCAGTCAGTGGAGGTGGTTCCACGGCACATTCGAATGAGGAAGATGGACGGATCTCGGGAGTCTCTTTCGGTGTCAGCTCTGATATCAACCCCTGTACATAACAGCTAGTCATCCAGTTGCTGCAGGAAACCGTTCCTGCACTCTGAACTGTTCAGCCCCGCGGGCAAGCAAATGCGTATACATTTCACTGCTACTTCTATCCCTACTGCTACCACCATCGGCACCATCATCGACAACGCTCCTATGATTCCTACAACTTCCACGTTACATAAGGCAGCATGTATTCTTCTAACGGGCCGCGGCGACGGCGGTGTCGTCGCGGAGAGCGGAAGTCTGGCTGCCTAGTCGACGGCTTCAGTGAACGCGCTGCCGAGAGAATCCTTCGCGAAGACCACATGCAGATATATATACACATACATTCGTCGGTATATATATATATGTGTATACGCATATTCGTATGTACGAAGGTCGCCGCTTGTATTTGTAACTTCACTTGTACACATCTCGAGTTGACAACGGTCGAAACGGCGGCAATGGTCCGAAAATTCTGTTTTACACAATTGCAGATCTTGGATAGCTCATATTCCTCATGCTGTAACACGCGGGAAAATATTCGAAGCCTGCATATGAATTCAATTAGGTCCATTATTATCATCATCTTCATTATACATAAAATAATAATATTAAAATAAGGATCATGCAGAAACGAAAACTGGAAATTGCGTTCCGAGCTGCTCGGATAGTTCGTTGTAAATTGTATCGGATTTTGAAAGAGTACGGGAAACGGCAGGCAGGCAAGGGCAAGCAGGCAGGCAGTCAGTCGGACGGTCGATCGGTCGACCGGCCAGTTGGTTTGGGCGGTAGTCCGATTGAGCCTCAGTCGTGTGTGTACCTGAATCCGAGAACGAAGCTCACAAATACGGTCGACGAGAAAAAGAAGAGGCATCAGCGACGGAAAGTCGGAGAAATACGGAGAAATATATAAAATATTGTGGCGTATTTTTGTTGCTAAAAGGAACCGAACGAATGTTTTCATTTGACAGTTTCAACTCACTATAAGTCAGTAAAACGATCTCTGAGCGATTGAGAGGTTTTGGTCAAGGCGACTCCCGAGTCACTCCGTCGCGGATCTTGATTGTTTCGCCAGAAGGGACTCAACGTCACCGTCTCCCACGAATCCTTCTCAGGCCGGGATTCGATCCAGTTATGCGAGACATTCACACGATTTCATGAGCAAGGATCACCCCTGGGAGGATTCGTCGGATTGGTTCGATTGACACCGGACCGAATTTTTTATGCGGAGTATTTCTCGAAGCTGAAGCTTTCATGCGGAGTATTTTTCAAAGTTTCCATCAAGCAAGTCGAGGGTGGGTCGATTTTCTTTTTCATGCTCCGGGTTTAGAGTGGCGTCCAGCTGCTCACTCGGAAAATCTCGAGCTCTCGACTCAGATCTCAGATATTTTCGTGGATCGCATCACCCTCCATGGTGAACGCTCACTGTGAATCTGAGCGTGGGCGTAATTCCGAGATTTCTCGTCCGGGAATGGGATACAGGTGTGGACGTTCGGAGGAACTCCTCGACGGAGCATTGCTACGACGCCGACGGTGGGGAATAATCGCGAAGACCGCAGATCTTGGACAGATCTCGGGAGAGGGCGATAGAAGTCGCGTAGACGACCGAAAATCGTAGGCCCCCGGGAGCCCAGCTTCATTGGAATCGCGCAGTCGATGGAGGAAGTGAGGAGGTGTCGTGATCCATTCGGCCACGTTCGTACTTCAGCCGCCAAATTCACTCTAGATCTGTATTGCGAACTCGATCGTCCGGTTTTGGGCATATATGCTCTTTTTGGGATTGAAGTTCCGCATGCGTGAACGTACAACGATGCTCTCGAGCCAAACGAGGCTCTGGGGCAAGCGGCGATTCATTAGTTTCCGCTCGTCTGTGCTGTCGTTGTAACAAAGGTGACCTTGTTGGCTGCTTCGCCAGCGGAATGGCGGCCTACATGGTCGTTCTCCCGAATGCGCATGCGTCTGCAGAGGCAGCCGTACGAGTGAGGGTGAAGAGGTGGGCACGGCCTCCTACTCCGCGGCCACCACCACCGGCTGTAAGGCTACCACCAAAGTAGGTGAGAGCTGTTCCGATGCGGCTGAACGCAGTAAAACCACTCCGCGGGAGAAAAAACACGGCTTGATGATTGGTTTGCCCCTGATGCCCCCCTCGGCATCGTCATGGATACGTTCCGAACTTCGTATCGGGCTCGTAGCGAGGGGCTCCCGTGGCGAAAAAAAGAAAATCCCCCAGAGTTCGGCTCTGGAAGCTTGCCCATCGCGTCGGAATCGCCTCTCGGAAAGGGTAGAGCGACCACGCGAGTATTTTCGAGGAAGCGGCGAACCACTGACCTGTTTTCCCGGTCGGAAGCCTCGCACAGCAAGTACTTCCGCCTTCGCTGCTCAGCACACGATATCATCGAGCAGCAGCCAGGGACACTCGGGGTTCACCTGGTCGTTTCTCTTCGACAGACTCTTCTCTTATCGTCCCGATCTAACGTGGAATCTTTCACCCGATTCCCGAAGACTCCTCACCCAGTCCCGAGCCATCGTGCGGGGACCGCTATTGGGAGTGGCGTCTCTCGAGCTGAACGGTACATCGTGTGTGCCTCCAAATCGAACTTTGACGTGAATAGCGCACACAAGCCCATTGTATGGGTTGTCAAGCGCTCCGACGAGGCAATCGCGAGGAAGCGGAGCATCCGGACGAGGGAGGGCGGGGACGTCGGAAATTACCGGGAAATTCGAGCTCTCTGACGATGAGAGATGTACTGGTGGGAATCCACGACTCCGGGATCTCATGCGTATACATCTATTATTGAGACTTCTCTCATTTATCGATGTTGCAGTGCTCGGAACGTTTCCATTGACCGGTGGGACGATAAGCCATGGAGTTGGATAATGGCGACGTGCACGGCTTCGGCTCCATCGACGGGCCTGCCGGTTTCCCGTGCACGTTCGCGCACAGAGCGTCGGAGAACACCCTGCCGTTTTTGCCCCAGCAGCGATCGTCCGAATGCAGCATGGGAGAGGAGCGACATAGCCTGGATAGAGATTTCCCCGGAAGGCTCCTGAAGTCCGTAGAGCAGTGGTTCCGACCTTTTTCTTCCTCGG